CCTTGGGTGAGGGGAGAGGCAAGGTCTCTGAATAGAATAAGAACGAATACTGAAAAATACCTACATACTAAGTGATATACTTGATAATGGATTAACTCGTATTATTCATACAGTAAAATATAGTTGTAATTAAAATTAATATTTAATGTGTACATACTGTAACAATAGAGCAAACCGTAAATATTTACGTTCCGCTCTGGAATGTAAATATTTACGGCATAATATTGGATTGAAAGTATTGGTGTCGCCTTTGGTTGGTGGGAGAGGCAAAGTCTCTGTATAGAATAAGAACGAATACTGAAAAATACCTACATACTAAGTGATATACTTGATAATGGATTAACTCGTATTATTCATACAGTAAAATATAGTTGTAATTAAAATTAATATTTAATGTGTACATACTGTAACAATAGAGCAAACCGTAAATATTTACGTTCCGCTCTGGAATGTAAATATTTACGGCATAATTTCGATTAAAAGTATTGCTGTCGCTCTAGGGTGGGGGGAGAGGCAAAGTCTCTGAATAGAATAAGAACGAATACTGAAAAATATCCACATACTATTACTACAAAATATTTACATTATCAAGTATACTAATGATATACTTGATAATGGATTAATATAGTAAAATATAGTTGTAATTAAAATTAAAATTTAATGTGTACATACTGTAACAATAGAGTAAACCGTAAATATTTACGCTCTGGAACCTAAAAATACCTACATACTAGGTAATGATACCGAATACATCCACGTTATTAAATGTGGTATAATGTAGGTGTAATTAAAATTTAAAATGTCAATTACTACTGCAACATTTTACATCATTGGCGACTGCTTTTAGCGTACTCGCTCACTTAGTGATAAATAACGTGATCATAAGTTGGCGCGCCACTTTACGATTCGCTTTGTCAATAACCGACGGCGGTGCTTGGTGTACCGCCGGCTTTAATGTCAGATAACTTAGATCGCTCGGTGTAAGGCTGCCCACAGACGTGGCGATTGAACGAATGAAAACTTTCGCAGCAGTGTTTATCTTTGAAGAACGTAATAAGTAGTTTCTTATGAAATGAAACACAATAACCGATAGCGATTTTTGATGTATCGCTCGGTTTATGTCAGATAACTTAGATCGCTCCGTGTAAGGCTGCCCGCAGACGTGGCGATTCAACGAATGAAAACTTTCGCAGCAGTGTTTATCTTTTAAGGACGTAACAAGTTGTTTGTTATGAAATGAAATACAACAACCGATAGCGGTGTTTGATGTCCCGCTCGGTTAATGTCAGATAACTTAGATCGCTCCGTGTAAGGCTGCCCGCAGACGTGGCGATTGAACGAATGAAAACTTTCGCAGCAGTGTTTATCTTTTAAGGACGTAATAAGTTGTTTCTTATGATATGAAACACAATAACCGATGGCGGTGTTTGATGTACCGCTCGGTTAATGTCAGATAACTTAGATCGCTCCGTGTAAGGCTGCCCGCAGACGTGGCGACTGAACGAATGAAAACTTTCGCAGCAGTGTTTATCTTTTAAGGACGTAATAAGTAGTTTCTTATGAAATAAAATACAATAACCGATAGCGATTTTTGATGTACCGCTCGGTTTAATGTCAGATAACTTAGATCGCTCCGTGTAAGGCTGCCCGCAGACGTGGCGATTGAACGAATGAAAACTTTCGCAGCAGTGTTTGTCTTTTAAGGACGTAATAAGTTGTTTCTTATGATATGAAACACAATAACCGATGGCGGTGTTTGATGTACCGCCCGCTTTAATGTCAGATAACTTAGATCGTGTAGGCTGTCCGCAAACATGGCAATTAAATAAATGAAAACTTTAGCAGCAAAGTGTTTATCTTTTAAGGACAACGTAATAAGTTGTTTCTTATGAAATGAAACACAATAACCGATAGCGGTGTTTGATGTACCGCTCGGTTAATGTCAGATAACTTAGATCGCTCCGTGTAAGGCTGCCCGCAGACGTGGCGATTGAACGAATGAAAACTTTCGCAGCAGTGTTTATCTTTTAAGGACGTAATAAGTTGTTTCATATGATATGAAACACAATAACCGATGGCGGTGTTTGATGTACCGTTCGGTTTAATGTCAGATAACTTAGATCGCTCCGTGTAAGGCTGCCCGCAGACGTGGCGATTGAACGAATGAAAACTTTCGCAGCAGTGTTTATCTTTGAAGAACGTAATAAGTTGTTTCTTATCAAATGAAACACAATAACCGATGGCGATTTTTGATGTATCGCTCGGTTTAATGTCAGATAACTTAGATCGCTCCGTGTAAGGCTGCCCGCAGACGTGGCGATTGAACGAATGAAAACTTTCGCAGCAGTGTTTATCTTTGAAGTACGTAATAAGTAGTTTGTTATGAAATGAAATACAACAACCGATAGCGGTGTTTGATGTCCCGCTCGGTTAATGTCAGATAACTTAGATCGCTCCGTGTAAGGCTGCCCGCAGACGTGGCGATTGAACGAATGAAAACTTTCGCAGCAGTGTTTATCTTTTAAGGACGTAATAAGTTGTTTCTTATGATATGAAACACAATAACCGATGGCGGTGTTTGATGTACCGCTCGGTTAATGTCAGATAACTTAGATCGCTCCGTGTAAGGCTGCCCGCAGACGTGGCGATTGAACGAATGAAAACTTTCGCAGCAGTGTTTGTCTTTTAAGGACGTAATAAGTTGTTTCTTATGATATGAAACACAATAACCGACGGCGGTGTTTGATGTACCGCTCGGTTTAATGTCAGATAACTTAGATCGCTCCGTGTAAGGCTGCCCGCAGACGTGACGACTAAACGAATGAAAACTTTCGCAGCAGTGTTTATCTTTTAAGGACGTAATAAGTTGTTTCTTATGATATGAAACACAATAACCGACGGCGGTGTTTGATGTACCGCTCGGTTAATGTCAGATAACTTAGATCGCTCCGTGTAAGGCTGCCCGCAGACGTGGCGACTGAACGAATGAAAACTTTCGCAGCAGTGTTTATCTTTTAAGGACGTAATAAGTAGGTTCTTATGAAATGAAACACAATAACCGATAGCGGTGTTTGATGTACCGCTCGGTTAATGTCAGATAACTTAGATCGCTCCGTGTAAGGCTGCCCGCAGACGTGGCGATTGAACGAATGAAAACTTTAGCAGCAAAGTGTTTATCTTTTAAGGACAACGTAATAAGTTGTTTCTTATTAAATGAAACATAATAATCGACAGCTTAGATCGTGTAAGGCTGTCCGCAAACATGGCGATTAAAAAATTGAGAATTTTACTGCATATACCTACAGAAAAGATAAGTTACTATAACTTATCTTTTCTGTTTGTTGTCCCAAACTTTGATACGGATATCAAATCCACTAAAAACTTAAAAAGTAATGTTGTGTATAACTAAATTAAGATAACTACCCTGGAATTTAATGACCGGAATAGTTATTATTATTAAAAAAAAACTTTGATACGAAAATTTTATGGTATAAGTTATATTTATACGTCTATATATGATCGTTTATCGATAGCTAGATAGATAGATAAGTTCTTTATTCAACAATTACAAACACATAGCATACATGAGATACATTTTATAAATAGATATAAAGTTTACAAATTAAATAATACAGAAATATACAAACTAAAATAAAAATGCAGGTGGCTTTATGTGTCGCAATGAATTGTATTAATCTATAATATATAAAGCTGCATTACTGATACAGCTACATCAGAATACGAGATAGGGTGAACTCACTGCCCCTCTGAGATGTAAACCATTTTGTCTTGTATATTACTTTTAAATAAATACAAGACAAAATAAATTACTTTTAAGCAGTAATTTTATTGGTTTTTATTTAAGACAAATAAAGATGTTTATTATTATTATTTATATTGTCCATATGATGTTCTTATATGAAACTGCTTCAGAAAATATCACCATCATCCACAATACAATTATCCTAACGATATGAATTCACATTCTAATTCAAGTCGTGTAATCTGTGAACGGCCATATTTTAAGCTTTTTAACCGCGCCTTGATATGAAAACCGGCAGAAAATTTATTGTCCATAAACAACATTTGTAAGTTAGCATAATAGATGTAGTAATTCACGTTTAAACATTTGCAGATTAAGTTGTTTATGATAATAAAAAAATGTTTACTTGTGCAAATAGGTTTAAATAGTTTTTTTATTGATTGGTGGGCATTATTTCTTTACTGTGTAAATTAGTGCTAGTTGGTACTTTATATTCACACATTTTGATTTTAAAATGTAGAGTGATAGTTTCTTGCTCGTTCTTTTTGTGAAGAGACAGCTTCCCGAATTAGCAGTAGATTATAAGAAGTATAACTTTACCTCAGAAGTGCTTAAATTAAGTTTATTTTAATAAAGGATTTTCTTTTCTATTCTGCATTGTTTGATGTCTTTCGTGGTATAGCGGTTTAGCACACCGCTTTACGTCCCATGGTCGCGGGTTCGATTCCTCGCACAAACATTGTATTCATGAGTATAATTATTTGTATCGGTCTGGGTGTTTTCTATCTAAATATATATAACTCAAAGGTGACTGACATAGTGATCTATCAACGCACAGCGCAAACCACTGGACGGATCGGGTTGAAATTTGGCATGCAAGTACCTGTTATGACGTAGGCATCCTCTAAGAAAGGATTTTGATTAATTCTACCCCCAAGGGGATAAAATAGGGGATGAAAGTTTGTATGAAACTTTGTCAATTTTGTCGATTTTGCATGCAAAGCTACTATGACATAGGCATCCCCATAGACAGGATTTTGATAAATTCCACCCCTAAGGGGATAAATAAACGCGAGCGAAGCCGCCGCCAAGCTAATGTACAATATGTATGTATTTCAGAAAAAAAAATATTTCTATGTATCAATTACTTAGTACTCATAACACAATCTTTAGCTACCTTAACTAGGGACTAGAGGGCGCTGTGTGAATTGTCCTGAGATTATTATTATTGTTCCAGGTTGTAATTGCTCCAAGTTGGGCGCCGAGAGCAACGTGTGTGACATACGGACCGGACAGTGTCGGTGCAGGCAGCACGTGACAGGCCGCGCTTGCGACACCTGCGAGGTAATTGTTTTTTTAAGCGAAACTTCTATATAAATAAATAAATAAAAATCCTAATACACCTCGTATTAAAATGTTTATTTATTTATTACTAGCTGTCCCCTCGACTTCATCCACGTGGAATTTTATTTTATTTTTCTAAAATAAAAGTAGCCTAAGTTACTCCTTATTACATCAGCTACCTGCCAATAAATGTCCCGTCAAAATCGGTCGAGCTATTTTAGAGATTAACCGGAACAAACAGACAGACAGACAAAAATTGTAAAAAATGTTATTTTGGTGTATGTACAGTATCTATATTCATATGCATGTAGTAAAAAACGGTTATTTCAATATTACAAACAGACACTCCAACTTTATTTATATGTATAGATGTATAGATTAAAACTTTAATGCACTAATGCACACATAAAGATGTATATGGCAGACTTAACATCTTAAGCCATTTTCTCCCAGTCCACCACAAAATTCTCTGTTGCCCGAGAATTTTGTGGGCAAAAAAATCTTAATCGAATAATATTCTAAATCATATGTAAATTTTTTAAATGCATTTAAAAAAATGTACATTCATTCATTCATAATTTAAGAGCTACACTCTTGTCGGTGGAGCTCTTGCCACAAAAAAATGTACAATTAATTTAAAATATTTTTCAATCACGGACAACCCTCATCACTTAGGTATATGAAAAATAGATAGTAACCGATTCTCAGATTTACTGAATATGCATATAAAATTTTATAAAAATCGATCAAGCCGTTTCGGAGGAGTATGGGAATTAACATTGTGAAACGAGAATTTTATATATAAGACTAGCTACTCGCCCCGGCTTCGCCCGGGTGTACATGTATTATACATATGAACCTTCCTCTTGAATCACTCTATCTATAAAAAAAACCGCTTCAAAATCCGTTGCGTAGTTTTAAAGATTTAAACATATATAACGACGGACAGACAGCGACAGCGACTTTGTTTTATACTATGTAATGATGAACTTTATGCTTCTTTCAATATAACAAATCCATCTTTTTATATCTTATCCTAATCTTAATAATAATATTATAAATGCGAAAGTATTTAAGTACGAATGTTTGTTACTCTTTCACGCAAAAGTTTTTTACTGAACAGATTTTGTTGGAACTTTGCAGTAATATAGCTTAGGCATCAATATTTTTTTATTTTTTTTATTGGGTTGTTTGGGCTATTGTCAGATGTGTAGCACCTGTAGCACTGCGACCTACATAGATCTATTGTGCTCGCCCTTTTCAGAGTTCGCTACCTAGACCCTTCAGGGACAAGAATTGAAGGATATTCATAGGAGCGATCGTTTTTATCTCCTCGGGAAAGAGTGTAAACTTTCCAAAGGAGATATTTCGTTTATGCATGAGTGTGCTAGGCATCAGAATAACGTATAGGCTATATTTTTTTTTTATTGAAATTTAACGCAGATGAAACAGCTAATAGAAAATATAAACTTGTAAAAAAACACTGAAATTGGTTTATATGTGCATTACTTTTTACAATAACACGTTTTAGCTGTAATCAGGCGATTTGATACCTCGTGGGAAAAGAATGTGAATCGCGTCGTATCATTACGATTTTTTCGTCAGCGCATATCATACAGGGTGTTCCATAATTACTTTGAACTGAAAAGATAAATAAATATAAAACTATGTACGGTTTGAATAACTTGTTTCTTGCATGGTAATCTATATAAAAGGGGAATTATTTTAAAAAAATCACTTCATCCAAATGTGCTCCGTTTCGTTCTTCACATACTTGTAAACGATGACTAAAATTTTCCATCACTAATAATAATCTCAGGACAATTTCACAGCGCTCTCTAGACCCAAGTTAAATATATATTTTTCAAATACATAGATATTTTTTGTTTCGTATACATATTATACATAGCGAACACCCAGACCGATACAAACAGTCATACTCCTGAATACAAATGTTCGTATCGTGCGAGGAATCGAACCCGCAACCATCGGAAGCCATTACTGCACGGCAAGCTCTGTAATTCGACTTTTAAATTTCAAAGGACTTATTGGACACCCTGTATAAGCTCATAATTGGCGCCGCAACAACAATTTGTTCCGTTCTCAAAAATAAGGCACGTAAATTATGACTTACCTTCCCACTAACTAAAATGCCTCGGTGACATTTGCAAGCTATAAACTCGGAATGGGGGTACCAGAGCGGTATTCATGAGCGGTTATAATATCAACTAGCTGTACCCGCGACTTCGTCCGAGTGGAATTTAACTTTACTTTTCTAAAATAAAAGAATTTATTCTAAAAAAAAAGTAGGCTTTACTTCTTATAACATCAGTTACCTGCCAAAAAAGTCATATTGATATAAAACGGCGGGTAGTTGTACACTTAAAATATCTCTCTTCAAATTTTATATTAATTTAATTGTTTTTATTAACTAAAATAATATTATCTCACCTTAAGTGCATTGTTTATTGTCTAAAGATTAATATAAAGTGTTAGCATATCTTTACATGTATTAAATAACCAAATATCTGCATAATCCTGCCGGCCAGTCTCATTTTTGTCACAACACTTAACACTTTGGAGATGGCGAACTTTGCTGACTTGGCCTCTACACAGAAGACATTGGAGAACACACTTCTTAAGATGATGGCGAGTTTTGAAGGTAAACTCCAGGCTATTACTCCTCAAACAACGGATACACTCACAATTGCTCAATTGTCCAATGAATTTAATGAATTTAAGATCTATACTCATGAAGTCTTGGGTCTTCTTCGTCAGCAAATAGCATACTTGATCCAAACAACCGATGAAATAGAGATGAGACACAGACGGAAGTATCTTCTACTTGGCGGAGTTCCAGAGAGTGGCGATGACTTGGCCTCTGTGATTGCCACTATCTGCAAGGATCACCTCAAGCTACCCGATGTCCAAGCCTCTGACATTTCTAGTTGTCATCGCCTAGGTACGGCGATTGAGGGCCGTTGTAGACCCATTATATTCCGTACCATTAATCCTGCTCTCAGTTCATTAATTTGGAAAAGCAAGACTAAATTGAAGGGGACCATGCTTGTTGTTTCCGAATTCTTGACTCGACGGAGGCAGGAATTGTTCCTCGAGGCCCGGAAGCGGTTAGGTATGAGAAACGTTTGGACGCTAAGCGGTAATATATACACTAAAGATCCGTCTGGCGGTCACCGCCGCATTAACAACATTGATGATTTGGACGCTATAATTCCCAAATCCAGCGAGCCCACATCGTCTAAATTGCCGGATCCAGCTTCCCAGTCAGCTCAGCGAGTCCATAAGGTTTCTGGATACTCAAGAACTCGTCGTGGTATGCGGGTCAAGCATTAGTGTTAAGTAGTTGGAATTTAGTATTATCCGGTCAATTTCAATGTTATATAGCAATCACTACTGCGTAATTTTATTTTAGTTTCACCCTCATATTTGTGATTTTACTCGTTTACTTTAATTATTAGTATTATAATAACTTGACTTCTATGTTTACACCTGCATATAATCTGTGTAATGTGTCAAGTGACAGCTGTCAGATGACACTTTCTCCGATTACTTTATTCTGATTGTCAAATATTAATTTTCTTTTTCTATACGCGATTTCACTCAACATTATTCTACGTAGTGATTGTTGACTTAGATTTTTTTATTTTTTTTGTACAATATTAGTAATTCTATCTAATTGTTGTACATGTTGATTGGATATATGTATTTTTTTTTTTTTTTTTATTGTTAACAGACGGCCGGCGGGCTCTAGCAGAGACTAAATAATATTATTAGTTGTATTTTTATATATTATTTTTTTTATTTTTATTTTTATATTACTTTAGTATTATTAATATTTATTTATTGATTTATGCAATCAACAAATAGTTTTTTTTTTTTTTATTTATAAAAAAAAGAACTTCGTATGTCTGATGACGATTCTTTTTTTCTGCATTAGATGACTCAAATCCCTCAATCCAGTCGCCGAATATTTCTTTAAATGAATCTCTTTCTTCCCTTCTCTATGACGAATTTCAGCGTTTCCCTTTTAGCCTCAATATTTGTCACCTGAATGCCCAAAGCATTCCTCAACATCACGGTGAACTTTTTAACATGCTTTACAACATTAATGTTGATGTTATTTTAATTTCTGAAAGTTGGCTCAAACCATCTATGCCGTCCTCCAATTACAGTCTCCCAGGGTTCGTTATGATTCGTAATGACCGCTTGGAGAAACGAGGCGGTGGTGTTGCAATTTACTTGCGGACTTCTTTTAAATACGAAGTACTGGCTTCTTCCCCCATCTCCGCTAACGCTGAATTTTTATTTATTTGTACTTATGTCAAGGGGACCAAAATCGTTCTAGGTGTTATTTATTGTCCCCCATCTCTAGATTACTTTCAGGAATTGGAAACAATTCTTGAATCCATTATGTCCGAGCACACTCACCATATAATCATGGGTGATTTTAATACTGACCTCATCCGTGATACAGCAAATTCCCGTAAACTAGGTCATATTGTTAACTCAGTAGGGTTAACTTTGTTACCGACTGGGCCCACTCATACCAACATAGACTATCCTGATAGTTGGATTGACCACATTTATATTTCCTCTCCCGATTCCGTTCTCAATCATGGTCAAGTTCCGGCACCAGGTATATCTCGCCATGACATAATATATGTTACTTATAACGTGAATAAAGTTAAACGTAAACCCGTAATTAAAGAAATACGCAATTTAGCTAGGATTGATATGGAGGCACTAGGAAAAGATATTCAATCGGTTAATTGGGACTGTGTTACTGAAGCTCCTACTGTCAGTGCGAAGCTCTCCAACTTCAACACTTGCATCCACCAGCTTTACATCAAACATGCTCCATCGCATGGTATAAAACTAAGAAAACCGCCCGCCCCTTGGATCACGAGAGGCGTTCGCATGGCGATGAAGGGACGCAATCAGGCGTTTTGTAAGTTTAAGAGGAATCGCACTGACGAGAACTGGTCGTCATTCAAAACGGCTCGTAATCGGTGTAATTACATGGTAAGAGCAGCCAAACGCCAATATATTCATTCGAATTTGCTTAATGCTTCGCCGGCTAATTCTTGGAAGTTCCTCAAGTCGCTCGGTTTGTGCAAACAAACCAGCGATACTGTCCCACTCTTTTCACTAGATGATCTTAATAGACATTTCTCTTCTCCCTTACCGCTAAGTGCTTCTATCAAAAAAGCCACTTTGGAGGAAATTGCTTCCTGGCCTAGCTTATGCTCGGATATGTTCTCTTTTACTGCTGTGACCGTCGAGGAGATCCGTAAGATTATATCATCCATCAAATCCAACTGTGTTGGTGTTGATGATGTGAGTAGAATCATGATTATTCTCATACTTGAACATGTACTTCCTTTGATCACTCACATTGTTAACTGCTCTTTACTTTCTAGTACCTTCCCTTCTATCTGGTTAAATGCTTTCGTCCTTCCACTTCCTAAGGTATCATCTCCCACTCTTCTCAAGGACTTTCGGCCCATTTCTATTCTGCCCTACCTCTCTAAAATTCTGGAAGCGGCAGCTCACAAACAGCTTTCTAATTTCATTTTTGGAAACAAACTTGTGAGCCCCTTTCAATCTGGATTCCGTCTTGGGCATAGCACCGCTACAGCACTTCTCAAAGTGACTGAAGATGTGAGAGAGGGCATGGAAAGTTCCAAAGTTACCATCCTTATATTAATTGATTTCTCAAACGCTTTCAATACAGTCGACCATGACGTCCTTCTTGCATTACTCTCTCATCTTGGGGTCTCCTCCGCGGCCGTTAGTTGGTTCCGTTCTTATATTGAGGGTCGCCGGCAGGCTGTTCGCTATGACCAAGCTCTATCTGACTGGTGCGAATTGGTCGCTGGTGTCCCTCAAGGCGGTATATTGTCTCCGTTATTATTTTCTATTTTTATTAACTTCCTCACTAATGATCTCAAGTGCTCTTACCATCTTTACGCAGACGATTTACAGCTGTACTATCAAATTGCAGTAGAAAGAATATCTGAAGCTGTAAGTCGGTTAAACGATGCTCTTGCCTACATTGAGGACTGGGCGGTTAGGTTCGGGGTGACTGTCAATCCTAGCAAATGCCAAGCAATCATTTTGGGAAGCTCGAGACAACTCGGCAAAACGAACCTGACGTCTGTTCCTCCGATAATTTTTAATAAAATGTCTATTCCTTACTGCACGCATGTCAAAGACCTTGGCCTCACGATTGATACCACCCTTAGCTGGAATAATCACGTCAATGAGGTCAGTCGTAAAGTTACGTACACCTTGCGCAATTTATACCGGTTTAAAAATTCACATTCAAATCCAAATTACGCAAACACCTTTCCCAGAACTAGTGTAGGCTCCTGTTATCCTTGTAGTATTATTCCTCCACCCAACCACCTCTATGTATCTGAATTTCCCTGTTGATTTGTATAAATTTATAATTGTATGTGTATTTGTATGTATGTGTGTAGGTACGTACGTGTATGTAGTTATATTTATATATGTATAATTATTTATTCATATTATGTATTATAGTTTATAAGTATATTCGCATATGTATTTATATTTAATCATATTAAAGTGATCTTCTTATTATTTTATTTTTTTTAGATTAGAATTTCAATTTGTTAATGCACCGCCAACATGAATCTCTGTTTGCCCAATGGTTGACTGGGAGAAAATGCCTCGAGGTGTTAAGTCCGCCATGTGTACCTTTATTTATGTATTTGTGCATTAAAGTTTTAATAAATAAATAAATAAAAAATAAAAAAGTCCCGTCGAAATCGGCCCAGTCATTTAAGAGATTAGCCGTAACAAACAGACAGACAGACAGACAGACAAAAATTGTAAAAAAATATTATTTCGGTGTATATAACGTATTTGTATTCATATGAATCTAGTAAAAACTTTACTTTTCTAAAATGAAAGAATTTTCCAAAATAAAAGTAGTCTAAGTTACTCCTTATAACATCACTTTGGTACCTGTCAAAAAATCTGTTCGAAATCAGTCTAGTCATTTAAGAGATTAGCCGTAACAAACAGACAGACAGACAAAAATTGTAAAAAATGTTATTTCGGTGTATATAACGTATTTATATTCATATGAATCTAGTAAAAAAAACGGTTGTTTCAATATTACAAACAGACACTCCAATATTATATATATGTATAGATAATTGGCCGCTGTTTATTCAGTTAAATGTCACTGAGACAGGCCCTGATTTATAGATGTGGGGCACTAGTTACGGATTACCAAGAGGTCCCGTTGTTTGATACCCTAGAGATATGTCAGTTTCATCTTTTCATTCAAATTCAAAATAACTTTATTCATGTAGGTCTATTACAGACTCTTATGATATGTCAAAACTACCGTCAGTTCCGAATTACATTAATTACATTAATAGTTTAACTGAAGCTAGTAATTCGTTTTACGGATACTGCGTAAGGTTTACCAAAGTCTGTCTTAAATCTACCTGAAAACATTCAAATTTCGTATGAAACAATTTCTTTGTATGAAAAAGCTATTTATAAAATTGCTAAGTTTGGAAATAATAACAATGGTTTTGTAGAAAAAGTACTTCAAATGCATAGTGTGGACAATAGTATCTGATTGCACAAAGAATGAGCGAGTAGAGGTTTCAGGTTGATTGTCGCATGCCACTTGTGATGAAATTAAAAAAAAACATTTATTTAAAATTGCATCTCCTAAATTTCTTGCTTATTCTTCTTATTATAATGTCTGCTTTAATAATAATAATCTCAGAACAATTCACACAGCGCCACCTAGACCCAAGTTAAGCTAGCTAAAGCTTATGTTATGGGTACTAGACAACTGATACAATTACATAGATTTATTTTTTTCCTATATACGTACATATTATACATAGAAAATACCCAGACCGTTCCAAACATACTCATGAATACAAACGTTTATCCCGTGCGAGGAATCGAACCCGCGACCATCGAACGTAAAGTGGTGTGCTAAACCGCTAGACCACCGAGGTCGTCGATTATATATCCAGAACTGGTGAAATTAAACTCACTTTACGAGCAAGTGTGTTGAAAAAGATTTTGTTACTTCTTTCTAATGATTGCTTTTCCGTATGTAGATAGGTTACTGGGGCCTGCAGCAGGGTGGATGTCGGCGGTGCGAGTGCGGCGCGGGGGCGGCCGCCTGCGACCCAGTCACGGGGATGTGCGCGTGCGCAACCGGCGTCGGTGGAGCGCAGTGTGACCACTGCCTGCCCGGCTATTACGGATTCAGACCTGCGGGGTGCTTACGTAAGTTATATAATTACAATTTAAAATTCTTTATTTGTGTAAAGTACAGGTAAAAGATAATCACCTTCCAGCAATGGTATTTCTGAACCGATACGATATTGAAACCTTCAAGAAAAGAGCTTATTCCTTTTTAAAAGGCCGACAACTTACTTGCAATTCCCCTGGTGTTGCGGCGGTAATCACTTACCATCAGGTAAGCCGCATGCTCGTTTGTCCCCTGTGTTATAAAAAAAGCGTTAGAATAAAAACCATTTTCACTGTCTTCAACAACAACAACAAGCTTACAAATATGTGATCTAACTACATCTTTATAAGATTGCATATATAATTATTCTTTGGCAACCAGAAAATATACATTTAAAACTATTAAGTACAAAGTTTTTTTAATTTATTTGAATAAGTGTTATTTCTATTAATAACTGAAGTTGTGGCTGATTAAGACTGCTGATATACAGTCGTTCGTATCTCCGATAGGTGCGGAACTGACTGACTATTATTTTATTATTAAAAACTAGGTAGAAGTTTTTAGGAAACTATCTGATAACATAAATAAAATTTAGCAATTAAACTGACAATTTAAAAATTATTATTGAATTCCCAGCATGTCCGAAGTGCTCGGACGGCAAGGTGTGCTCCCCGGACACCGGACAGTGCGTGTGTCCGCCTCGCTCGCGGGGCCCCGGTTGCCGGCAGTGCGCGCCCGGATACTGGTCCAAACAAAACGGCTGTCAGCCCTGTCGATGCGGCGCTGGTGCTATATTCAGTAAGTCTTCAAAGTATATATGTATATATATTTTTATGGATGACAATGGAATTGTGCACCCGTCTGCGCTAACGGTTTACGCTGGTGGGGCACTAGTGGAGGATGAAGAAATGAGCCTGAGGTTAGGTCAGTTAGCCTATCGTGACAAATTCGCCAATATTTCAATGATCATGTCCTTATACTCTACTCATTGTTATAATTCGCCGAAGTTTATTTAAGACTCACAGGCCAGGAACAGGTCAAGGTAACCGATCAATGTCTTCTCGGTTCAATACTTCGAAAAACTGGTTAAGATTATTTTGCTCAAAACACTATACAGGAGACGAGAATTATTGGATAAAATCATGTATTTTGCCATAGCAATGGCCTTTAAAATATATTTCAATAAACTTTGTCTTTATATAGATAGCTCGCAGAATAATCAGTATTTGGTATATGGCCAGGTAGCGACCTGCAATGGCCCTCTAGGAAATTGCTTAATAAACTGCGAACCCAGATGGGCCGCTGCAGGTACAATACGTTGGTGAGACTTGCGACTGCGGAACATCATCCCAGACTATGGCTCAGCCATTGTCCTGTCCTTTGTGCTATTGCTGAGCTGAAGACAACGACGTCCACCTGCTCTGTGGGAGTGTTCGCTGTATTGCAGCGCGAGGATGGTGATGCTGGACGGCATACGTCGAGGCAACGACGAGGAGGGTCTACTACAAGGATATCGTGTCTACGATGGAGAAGTTTAGACGGCTACGGGAGTTCGCGCATCAGTGGCATAGGAGGCGGAGCAGATCAGAGAGGAAGACTCGCGGAACGGCACCAGGAAACACAGAAGACATTCGGGCGTATTCGGATGAAGATGGAGTGCTGTCCGGCACCGTAGTCACAACTGCTGTTACTGTGGTGTCCACTACTCCATAAAGGGAAGAAAGTGCACTAGGGACAAGGAATGTAGATGAAATCATTTGAAGGGAGTCAAGAGAGATGTGCGAAAGCGCACCTCCTGCGTTTCGGCCAGTATAACCACGAGCTTGGAATGACCATTGGTTGGTAGAAGGGTTTGTCCTATACTTTGTGCCCATCATTCTGCACAAAGGAAGATCTAAAAAATGCAACAGAATTCGCAAAAGTCGTAACATTCTGGGGAAAGTATATTTAGTTGCCATTAAAATGAAAGAAGAAGGCGTATAGCCGAATATTCTATTCGTTGCAGATCAGTGCGACCCGGTATCAGGGCAGTGCAAGTGTCGGCTCGGGTGGACGGGTGTGGGGTGCGAGCGGTGTGCGAATGGCCACTTTGGGCCGCGATGCCGCCCGTGCGACTGCTCCCTTGCCGGCACACGACGCTGCGAGAATGGCACGTGTGGCTGCGACGAGAATGGACGATGTAAATGCAAGGTCAGTTTATTGATACCATCATTATATTATATTATTTGATTGAAATGATCAATTTGTTTTCTTTGTATTTTGTAAATGTATATAATGTTATAAATTTTAACCGGGCAAGCGGTAGATTAAAAAAAATGTTATAACTATTCAAAACTGCTTAAATTGAGTTTATTTGAATAAAATAATTTTCTATTCGATTCTTGTTTTTGTCCTGTACATTTTTTTAGATTAACTATAGGTAGTAAGGTTTATATAATCAAGAGTTTACCTGATTGAAATAATCAAGTTGTTTTCTTTATATTTTGCAACTGCGCACGTAACGTTATTGCACTCAGTATTGCTGTTTAGATAGAATTTAAAACTATTTGATAATGACACTCTGTTCACATATTTCGATAAATTTATGAGGCTTACTATTTCTTCTATTGGCTTACTATTTCTATTCTGTTCTGGACTATTCCGTTCTGATCTGTTCTGTTCTATTCCTCTCCGTCTCGTTTCCTTTCGTTCCATTGCGTTCTGTTCTATTCTATTCTACCGACTAGCACTAATACATAATTACTCATCTTCTGCAGGAAAACGTGGTAGGTGACAAATGCGACCGCTGCCTGGACGGCACGTTCGGACTGTCGGAACACAACCCCGCCGGGTGCACGGCGTGCTTCTGCTTCGGGCGCGCGGCGCACTGCTCGCAGGCGGCGCTCACCAGGTCTGCGCTGCACATGGCCGCGCCGCACCACATCACGCTGCTAAGGGGCGACGACCAAATCACCACGGTCAGCCACCACGTTATTTATCTCTTATACTTAAAAATAGAGGACCTTTCGGCCTCTTGTACTCATCATATTTTTTATCACGTCATAGCTGCAATGTTGATATGAGTGGATACCAAGTGTATCCGGCTCGAAGGACCAAAAATGTAAGGATTGCTCTCTTGGTTGATAGTTATAAAATTATAGTGTTGTTGATAGGTATTGATCACAACACAAATTGGATATAATATTAAAACTCTCAAAAGCATATCAGCCTAGTACTCAGTATCATCGATGACTTAGTCCTCACAGTAGGTTAACCTGTGTTGTGGGTGACTAGTTCCTTTCCCATCGTAATAATAAAGAAAAAGATTATTTTTGTTCATTTTATTTCATTTCATTTCATTACTTTCTAAATAATGAAATAAAAGTAGCCTAATTACTTACTACAGCTATTTCAGAGATTTGCCGGAACAAACAGACAGACAGACAAAAATTGTAAAAAATGTAATTTTGATGTATGTACCGTATTTATATTAATATGCATGTAATAAAAAACGTTTATTTCAATATCACAAACAGACACTGCAATTTTATTTATATGTATAGATAAATCACATTAAAAAAATTAATTAAGTTCATATTGTTTTTCAGATGGACCAGGCGTCTCCCCTGGCTATCCACACGCACTCCCCTGACGCAACCATCTCCTTACCCTGGCCCCCTGTACCGGTGTACGTGGAGCTGGATAAAAGGTTCCTCGGCGACCGCCTCACCTCCTACGGTGGAGAACTGCGGTTCACCGTGGAAGAGGAAGGTGGTGAGGAGTTGCCGCTCGAGACCAGGCGACGATTCCCACTCGTCCTCTTGTATAGCAAAGACATCGTGTTGGAACAATTTGAGGTAACCGTTACGTTCCAAGTTACTATAGATAGAGCATTTTGTAGTAATACTGACTGTACCCGCGAGTTCGATCGCGTGGAATTTAAGAAAAACGTTAATTTATTTTTCTAAAATAAAAGTAGCGTAAGTTACTCTTTATTATATCAGCTACCTGCCAAAAAAAGTCCCGTCAAAATCGGTCCAGCCATTTCAGAGATTAGCCGGAACAAACAGACAGACAAACAAAAATTGTAAAAAATGTTAATTTGATGGATGTACCGTATTTATATTCATATGCATGTAGTAAAAAACGGTAATTACAAGCAGACACTCCAATTTTATTTATATGTATAGATTATTTCGCTTCTTATACAGAAATATCCACATCAGCAGTCGTCTAGACTTACTAAGTGGGTTTATATTGGTTTCTTTAATTCCGCTACAATTACCATGAGTGAGATCAAAAATATTCAGTGCGGAAACTAGACTACCGTTACGATCTTCTCTAATGGTGATCAAATTCCTACCGTCATTGAGTCTACATCCATATTGCGACATATTTCGGCTCTGAAAGAGACATCATCAGGCATTGAATGGAGTTTGGATATAGCTTGGACACTTAGTGTGAACTGTTCGGTGACCAAACAACTTCTAGAGTTACCTCGCTATGTATCTGCTCCAGCCTTAAATTAATAATCCTTTTGTTCACTGTCAAGGGCTATAGCTGATTCAATTCCGTAATTCCCAAAGATTTAGATTCCCAATTATAATGGTATATGGTCAAATTTGTAATACAAGCTCCCTATAATCCCTTGTGGTCGCCACTCGAGGACTTTACTGCCCCAACGGCCATCTGTCCTACGAGCTATGTGCCCTGCCCATTGCCACTTCAGAGTCGCAATTGTTCGGGCTATGTCGGTCACTCTGGTTCTTCTGCGGATCTCCTCATTTCTGGGGTCTCGCTGAAATCCAGAGCTATGTAGGGGCACCTCATTGAGGTTATGCTTATATCAGCAACAGCTGAGGCAGCACCTGTTGCCATTGTTTATTGTTTTTTTTTCTTATTTTTGTGTATACTTGTTAATCTATGAATGTTAGCAATAAAGTTCATTATTTATTTGTTATCGATCTATTATCTCCAGCGTATAGCAGCCAAGAACGGCACGTACTCGGTACGGCTGTACGAGTCGCTGTGGCACGTGCGTGACCGCGGCGGGTTGGCCAGCCGGTCCGCCATCATGGTGGTCCTCGAGAAACTCGACCGGATCCTACTGAGGGTCACCACCAGAGCGCCCACTGCCAGGGACAATGTGCATGCACTGTGAGTATTAGAGCGATAGCTTTATAGTAAGCCATTTACAAACTAACCTTAAGCCAAAATCATAAACTTCATAATCCCCGTCATAAAATAATAACCCCAAGACAATTCACACAGCGCCATCTAGTCCCAAACTAAGCAAAATCTGTACTTTTGGTACAAGACAATTTATAGAACTATCGTAGAGCGATGCGAACTATCTTACTCTTGAATACAAATGTTCGCAGCGTGCGAGAAATTAAACTCGCGACTGTAGTAATTGAAGCAGTATATTTAATTTTTTTTATTGAGGTGTTCGAGGCTATTGTCAGATGCTAAGACCTGCGAGCACTGAGCACTGCAACCTGTATAGATCTATTGCGCTCGCCCTTGTTCAAAGTTCGCTACCTAGACCCGTAAGGTGCAAGAACTGAAGGATATTCCTAGGAACGATGGTTTTTATCTCCTCAGGATATAGTGTATACTTTCCAAAGGAGATATTTCGTTTAAGTATGCGACGGCTACAACCATATAGGATGTGTAGTGGCCTTTCCTAAAGCAATATGCTAATCCGCTACACAACCAAAAGCGTCAAATATAACAATACTTCCCCCAACAGTTTGCTGAACGTTTCAATGGACACAGCCATCCCTGGACTGAGTCGCTCCGAGCCCGCACTGGGCGTGGAGCGTTGCGCATGCAGTTCCGAATTCGCGTCCAACTCGTGCCAGCGGCCAGCGCGAGGGTACTGGCTGCCGCAGATCCGTCAGAACATCCACCTGAGGGACGGCGTCATTATCATCACGCTTGATGGTCAAGCGCAGCCTTGTAACTGCAATGGACGAGCTACCGCCTGCGACCCTGTCACTGGTGACTGTTTGGTAAGATGTATTTTGTATTTATTTGCTTTGAGAGATTTCTTTGTTAATTATGTATAGTGATCCTATTGAAAAGGACAAATATTGTCTCAATTATTAGCCGGCCCGTAACTAACCGTGGTGGTGTCCAGAAAACTGCACTGATGGTACAGGCGCAGCGTGGTGGTTTGACTGCGCAGCGTAGTATCGATCGTATTGTAAAGTTGTTACCAATATTGGCCCAATTATTTGTCGGCCCGTATGTATATATGTGTGGTGGAGTCTACCAAGCAGCACCGATGGTACAGGCGGGGCGCTGTGTGGTATAGAGCAATAATTGTTGTTACCACTATTGGCTCAATTGTTTGCCACCTCGTATGTATATTAGCGAAGTACGCGGCGTAGTATAAAGCAGTAATTGTTAGGTTGTTACCAATATTGGCTCAATTATATACCAGCTCGTTTGTACATGACTGTGGTTCTCCGCAGAACTGCACCTATGGTACGGGCGGAGCGCGGTGTGATATAGAGCAGTAACTGTTAAGTTGCTACCAATATTGGCTCAATTGTTTGCCAGTTCGTATATTCATTAAGGGAGTGCGCAGCGTAGTATAGAGCAGTAATTGTTAAGTAGTTACTAATATTGGCTCAATTATATACCAGCTCGTATGTACATGACTGTGGTTCTCTGCAGAACTGCACCTATGGTACGGGCGGAGCGCGGTGTAATATAGAGCAGTAATTGTTAAGTTGCTACCAATATTGGCTCAATTGTTTGCCAGCTCATTCATTAAGGGAGTGCGCAGCGTAGTATAGAGCAGTAATTGTTAAGTTACTAATATTGGCTCAATTATTTGCCAGCTCGTATGTACATGACTGTGGTTCTCTGCAGAACTGCACCTATGGTACGGGCGGAGCGCTGTGTGATATAGAGCAGTAATTGTTAATTTGCTACCAATATTGGCTCAATTGTTTGCCAGCTCGGATATTCATTAAGGGAGTGCGCAGCGTAGTATAGAGCAGTAATTGTTAAGTAGTTACTAATATTGGCTCAATTATATACCAGCTCTTTTGTACATGACTGTGGTTCTCCGCAGAACTGCACCTATGGTACGGGCGGAGCGCGGTGTGATATAGAGCAGTAACTGTTAAGTTGCTACCAATATTGGCTCAATTGTTTGCCAGCTCGTATATTCATTAAGGGAGTGCGCAGCGTAGTATAGAGCAGTAATTGTTAAGTAGTTACTAATATTGGCTCAATTATTTGCTAGTTCGTAAGTTCTTGGCTGTGGTGGTATCCACAGAACTGCACCGATGGTACGAACAGGGATCGGTGTGGTATGGAGCAGTAATTGTTAAGTTGTTACCAACATTGGCTCAATGTTTGCCACCTCGTATGTATATTAGCGAAGTCCGCGGCGTAGTATAAAGCAGTAATTGTTAAGTTGTTACCAACATTGGCTCAATTGTTTGCCACCTCGTATGTATATTAGCGAAGTGCGCGGCGTAGTATAAAGCAGTAATTGTTAAGTTGTTACCAACATTGGCTCAATATTTGCCACCTCGTATGTATATTAGCGAAGTCCGCGGCGTAGTATAAAGCAGTAATTGTTAAGTTGTTACCAACGTTGGCTCAATGTTTGCCACCTCGTATGTATATTAGCGAAGTCCGCGGCGTAGTATAAAGCAGTATTGTTAAGTTGTTACCAACATTGGCTCAATTGTTTGCCACCTCGTATGTATATTAGGGAAGTCCGCGGCGTAGTATAAAGCAGTAATTGTTAAGTTGTTACCAACATTGGCTCAATGTTTGCCACCTCGTATGTATATTAGCGAAGTCCGCGGCGTAGTATAAAGCAGTAATTGTTAAGTTGTTACCAATTTTGGCTCCATTGTTTGTGACCTTGTATGTAAGTGACTGTAATTCTCCACAGAACTGCACCGACGTTATGAGCGGAGCGCGGTGTGGTATAATTGTTAAGTTGTTATCAATATTGGCTCAATTGTTTGCCAGCTCGTATATACATTGCCGTGGTATCCCCACAGAACTGCACGGATGGTACGGGCGGGGCGCGGTGTTCTGAGTGCGCGGCGGGGCACTACGGCTCGCCGCCGGTGTGCCGGCCGTGTCCGTGCGCGCCGCACGCCGCCGCCGGCTGCCGGCTGCACGCCGGACGGATGCACTGTATCTGCAGACCAGGTCAGTACCGGAACCGGACCTAACCGGCCGCGTATACTGTCAACAAGACATGTACCCACAGAGTGTGTAAAACATGTATGGAAAAATGTTTTTTTTTTGTTTTGCCGCTGTCCGTCTGTCCGTCCCTATATATGCTTAAATCTTTAAAACTACACAACGGATTTTGAAGCGGTTTTTTTAACAGATGAGTGTTTTAAGAGAAAGGTTTATAATACATGTACTTCGCGAAGCCGGGGCGAGTAGCTAGTATTATAATAAACATAAATGCCAAACCGATACAAACAATCAGTCATGAATACAAATGTATTTACTATGCGAGGAATCGAACCAGCGACCATCGGAAGTAAGTTGTTTAACTTACTTTCGATGCTACGCTACCATCAATAATAGTGACGAAATACTATAGAAATATAATACGAATAGAATAGAAAATTCTTTATTCATATAAATTCAAATTTAATAGTCATACATATTTTTTTTTTATATTTTTATATAATTTGGAAAGCTAACTCATCACAAATCGAACAAGTCCCTAGCTCGATTCTCTTATAAATAGTTACTGTAACATTACATTTTTAAGTCGAAATGTGTATACAAACACTAAGAAGTTAGAGTAGACGATAACGAGAAAGTCGGTGGCAGGGTACGCGGGAGCAGAATGCTCGTCGTGCGCGGCGGGGTGGCGGCGCACGAGCTCGGGCGCGTGCGAGGCGTGCGCGTGCGACGCGCGCGGCGCAGAGAGCGCGGCGTGCGACGCGCGCGGCCGCTGCAAGTGTCGCGCGCACGCCGCCGGGCCCGCCTGCGAGCGCTGCCTCGCGCGCCGCACCTACATGGCCAGCGACGGCTGCACCGGTTCGTACCGCTCCACACTCTCTGCTCCTACATCGTTCACGCCGCCGGGCCCGCCTGCGAGCGCTGCCTCGCGCGCCGCACCTACATGGCCAGCGACGGCTGCACCGGTTCGTACCGCTCCACACTCTCTGCTCCTACATCGTTCACGCCGCCGGGCCCGCCTGCGAGCGCTGCCTCGCGCGCCGCACCTACATGGCCAGCGACGGCTGCACCGGTTCGTACCGCTCCACACTCTCTGCTCCGAGCGCTGCCTCGCGCGCCGCATACATGGCCAGCGACGGCTGCACCGTTCGTACCGCTCCACACTCTCTTGCGAGCGCTGCCTCGCGCGCCGCACCTACATGGCCAGCGACGGCTGCACCGGTTCGTACCGCTCCACACTCTCTGCTCCTACATCGTTCACGCCGCCGGGCCCGCCTGCGAGCGCTGCCTCGCGCGCCGCACCTACATGGCTGCAGCGACGGCTCGTTCACGCCGCCGGGCCCGCCTGCGGTTCGCGCGCCGTACCGCTCCACACTCTCTGCTCCTACATCGTTCACGCCGCCGGGCCCGCCTGCGAGCGCTGCCTCGCGCGCCGCACCTACATGGCCAGCGACGGCTGCACCGGTTCGTACCGCTCCACACTCTCTGCTCCTACATCGTTCACGCCGCCGGGCCCACCTGCGAGCGCTGCCTCGCGCGCATAAGTATAAATAGGTATTAACCTATACCATCAGGTGAACCAACAGTTGTTGCTATTCTAGTCATAATCATAAAAAAATATCTGATACTATATCGTTTTCTATTCCTCGCTATGACCCGTATTTCTGTGTGTGTTTGCTCAAAACATTAATTTATGATTATTTATAATTAACAAATAATCTTACAGCTTGCGACAACTGCACGCAAACGCTACTAGATGCGATCGAAGAATTAACCGGAAATCTACGAAAAGAAGCCAACCCCACCGAACTAAGCCGAATACCGAGACCGTTTCCAGCATTGTTGGAGTTTGCTCACAACTCTTCCATTCTCGGCACTCAACTAGAAAGCTTAAGAACGAACGCAACACAATTGCAATATATAGAAAACTCTATAGCTAGACTAGAAAGTGATGAACATAAAGTCTTTACAGAAATAAACGATTTGCAACAGGAAGCTTCTAAAAGGGAAAGAGATACACAAGCTCTGAGCCTGGAAAGCACAAATAAGTTAGAAGACATTATAAAACTAAGAAGGCGAATAGGAGAACAGGTAGCAGCTTTGAATGAATTTGCAAAAGGCGAGAGACACCTCAGCGCGCATAAAGCCATAAAAGAAGCTAGGAAGCTTCTGAGACAAATTAATGAGATTAAATTGATCGATTACATTGGAACAGCAAATGATGTATTTAATACGGTAAGTTTTAATACCATTATCATATTAGCTATTGCTACGTTTAACGAAACTTCCATTGTAGCTCTTCCGCATTAGAACGCTCAAATATTTTTAGAAACCTTAATAATTATCGCACTATTATGTGGATTATAAAAATGTACATAAATACATGCACTTGGCAGTTAACGCATTCGGGTCTTCATCTACAAATAGGTGGAATATATATTTTACCTTTAAAATTTATTTATTAGGTACGAAATTATAAAGCTGTTTAGATTTAACTCTAACACGATCTTTACATACCATGCTACTCTGATCTTTACATTTTACAATACTATACCTATCATCTATTTATCTTTACAGGCACATCTCCAATCAACTTCAGTGAAAGAGATTGACTACCTCATGGATGATACGTACAAACGTCTACGGACACTGCAGAACGCATTAGCAGAGTGGGAGCGCAAGGCTGAGGATGTAACACGACTGGCAGACACGGTATGGACCGCGGGGGATGCTGTCACAGCTCTGAGCAATGATATACGCCCTAGGCTGGCCGTCGTCAGAGATACTGGATTGAGGTGCAGGCTTATATTGGAGGTGAGTTTGGGCATTAATAATACTAAATTGTTGGCAATATACACCTAGTGTCTTATCTTCATACATTATTCGTGGTTTCTGAAGTATGATTTCTTTTTCAACTGACCCCTAACAACCAGCATTTTTATGCTTAGTTGCTCTTTACACATTTCTCACAAACGATCCATCTTTTTCTCTTCGGTACTTCTTGCTATTTATTTATTACAAAAAGGGCTTATTGTCTAAAAGATAGATGATTAGAAAAAAGAGTAGATTCAAATTTCTTTCAACTCTTCTTTTCTACTTATTGCATACTGTTGCCAAAGGAACTAACAAAGACAAGACACGCCATTTAATTTGAAACATGACAATAGATTTTAAAATCTAATAGCCTTCTTTCCTCAGGATATAGCGTCGCTTTCTGCTAGCAACCTTACCGACGAGTCAGCTACCGCAATCTTCAGAAGTCAAGCCCAGACCATGAAGTTCCCAAGCTTGGCAGCAGAACTAGAAACTCTCACCGCAGCTGCAGAGGAGAAGGAGGGAATCCTTTACAACCTGACTCCAGTTTATCGACAGAAATATTTGAACAACGCAGAACGACACGTCGCTATGTTAGGCGAAAAAGCTAAAGAGTACAAGAGGTAGTTTCTATCGTCTTTTGTTTCTCTTTGAATAACAACGTTTAATGTTTCGTAATTCTGATTATGCTGCTTTAGATTAACGTTTATAGCAAAAACAGTCCCAAACAAGACGAGAAGTTTACACCGGTTTAGTTTTGACGTAACTGTATTAAAGACAGCCATTACAAAAAAACATCATAAAGAAAAAAGTAAATGCTTGTCCCACATACTACCACTAGACAGCGATTAATTAGCCAAGTTTCACTGTCCACATGTAAGGATTATACGTAATATTTTCCTGAAACTCACCTACTAAACCTTGCTAGTTTAACTCTGGACGAGATTTAACTGAGAGTAGTGGTATGACTCTCTGGTAGTTATAGTGTAATGTGTGGTCAGACTGTTCGCGGGCACGCGTGCTGCCGCATCGCTGGGCGTGTCAGCGGCGCACGCGTGGTCGGCGGTAGCGGAGGCAGTGAGCGCCGCGTCAGCTGCTGCCAATGCCGCCCTCGCGACTGCGACCGCCGCCGCCTCGCTGACACGAGGACCCGACCCCATGCTGCGCTCCGCCGCCGCCGGAATGAAGTCCTCACATAAATTGAAACAAAGGGGCGCCGCTGTGCTAGCTAAAGCTGACGGTGAGTACATTAATAAATATTTATTGATATATTTAAAGAAACAAACAAATTCGTTTTTGATCCTTTGAGCCGGACATGATAATTTATATATAAGTCAAATACTTTTAATATATTTTAAGTAATTGGAATAGCAAGCAAGCTGGCGGCTCATCTGCTGGTAAGTACTTACCAAAGTAGTACGGACATTATTTCTATCCTATTTCGGAGGATTAAGATGTCATACCTCTTATCCTATAATTTTACTACCTTATCTCAACTTTCCACAGAAACACGGCTTACGAAACAAGCTAATTGACGTCTGAATTAGGTGAAATTGAGTTACCCATGCACTTTGTACAGTTATCTCGATAAAAACTGGCTTTATTACATGTGAACGTTTAAATTTGTCTTTTAGTTATTAACATCGGTGTCTTCTATATTATTGTTCAAAGAACTTCGCACACAACTAGATCGTCTTATCCACGAAGCAGACCTAGTGAGCGTATCACTGCGAGGCCTCGGCTGGCAGGAACAGGAATTGGGAATAATGCCACAAGCGAACGTGGCCGCTACGTTGGCGGCTGCTGGGAAGCAGGCGGACCGCGTCTTTGCTACCACTAGGGCATTATACGACGAGGCTGCGGAATTACGAAGGCGAGTGCAGTACCAGATGCGCAGGCAGTTATTGGAGCTGCAGCGACACGGGGATACAGCACTTGGAGCCGCTCAAGAACATGGTGAGTATTCTACGGAATAATTATGTAACAATTATTAACTTAGTACGTAAGTAAAAAGTAAACTAAATTCTGTATACGAGTAGCGCTCAAATGCTGGCTGAATTTTATCAAATAAAAACAAACACTGAGTATGAAAGTTTGGTCGTAGAACAGTTAAGTCTAGTATTCCAAGCTATATCCGAACTCTATTCAGTGCCTGATAAGGCCTCGTTCAAAGCCAAAACACGTACACATATGGACTCAGTAATGGTCGGAATTTGATCACCAATTGAGAAGGGCGTAATGCTTCCAGTAGCGTTGGTCAGATTTTCGTACAAAATATTTTTGGCCTCCCACGTCCTAATGATAGCGGAATTAAACAAAATATAAATCCATTAAGTATGAAAGTTTCAGAATGGACCCTATTGTGTGGTCCTTCGAGCCGGATACAAATTATTACATAAAAGTGTATAAGTTGTCAAAATGAAGTGAGTAACACACGGGATGTGGTAGTGTCTCAGATCCGTGGCAACATGGAGCGCGGCGCGGAGGTGGTGGCGGCGCTGGAGGGTGCGGCGGCAGCGCGCAGCCGCGAGCAGGCCGAGCGCGGCGCCGCGCTGTCACCTGCCCTGCGACAGCTCGCGGCAAGTGCGGCGCGCGCGCACCATGCCGCTGCATCTGTACGTACCGCACGACTTACGTCATTTCACATTCTTTTAAAATTCTATTATTTAATCTACTATTTTTAGTTTACTCTCTAACTCTAGAATTCACAGCTTCGGTTGTCTACTAGTTTACTTATCCGCTCCGATGTTCGGGTTCGATTCCTCGCACGGTACAAACATTTATTCAAGAGTATAATTGTTTGTATCGGTCTCGGTGATTTCTATGTAATTTTGTATGTATTTACGAAAAAAATATCTGAGTAAATATCAGATGCCTAGTACCCATAACACAAGCTATGCTTAATGGGCCATATTTAATAGTGAATAATAATGTTAGGTAATTATTATGAGCGGAGTGTTTCGTGCAGATCGCTGTGTCGTTGTCATCGCGCGGCGAGGCGGGCCCGGGGTGTGCGCGCGCGTACTGGGCGGCGGGCGCGCGTGCAGCCGTGTCACGGCTGGCGCTAGCAGTTTCGTTCGAGCGCCACGTGCGACCCGGCACGCTGCTCTACCTGCGAGATGACGCCGACCAAGACTCGCCGCATGTAAGTCAGAAGTAAGTAAGAATGACTTACATGCGTAAGTCATTCTTACAGCCTCACTTCAAAACGGTAGCGGTGTTTCATGTAGTATACAACTATAGTTCGGCCGCTCAGAGTTTCCGTTTCGGACTGGTCGGGATCGAATGGGCGATGTAACTTTGAACTGACGAGGAATTTTGCGGTAAAATTTTAAGTATGTTTTGTGCTATTCTGAATTTATTATTATTATATTTTAATGTTAATATGTTTGCCATATTAACATTAAAAATTTAGTCATTATTTCAAACGTAATTCATTTTGTGCTATTCTGAATTCTAAAAACGATAGTTTTTAAAAGTCAAATTACATCAAACTGCGCTGTTTCAAGGTTATGGTTTTTTTTGTAGTGATGTGACCAAATAACTTTGAAACAGCGCTGTTTGATATGGTTTGACTTTTAAAAACTATGCACGGACGTCAGGTCAAAGTTACAAAAATTACTAATGAAGCATGTTAGTTAAGGATATGCACAATTTGTAATTATAATATTACTAAAGTTGCCGATTTATAAATAAACATTTGTTGTCATTATCAGGAAAAGGAGAAATATTTGCATCTGAGTGTAGAAGATAAACATCTACATGTGAGTTGGGACTTGGGTGACGGGCCTGGGTTCTTGCGACACCCTCAGGAGCTGCAGCCGGCGCAAGACGACATCGACCATGCCACCTACAGGATCGAACTCGACAGGTAAATATCAGCAAATATCAATAAAAACTGTTTAACATTATAAATAGTCCAGAATTAATTACCGTGGTATGGTCAGGTCATGAGAAGACAAGGGATCTCCTTGTCTTCTCATGACCTGACCTGATATGACTAGAAAAGTACTAAACGTCAATCCTGAACAAATGAAAGCGTGGAAGACCTCTATTTGGATAGCCGCCATCAAAAGGCATCTTACATGTTCACCAGTCACGTGTCATAATCACTTATGGTCATTTAATTACGGGTTAACATGAAAATGAGACGCCCTTAGAGCTGTTCATGTAATTGTAAAAATTGGCAATCCAATTATTTTTATATTCCATCAAAGTTCTTGATTAATAATTAAATCCAAAAAAGTACGCCTCCTATTTTCAATAATAAAAGTTATCAATGACGTTACATATTTTCCTATTACGATACGGCTGATGACAGATGATGGTTTTGTTCATCATTTTATAAAGCAACTTTGAACCCACCCATGTTTCTAGAAAAAAGCTCCAGGAAAAGTTGTAGAACAAAAGTTGTTCGTTAGAGATGTGTCCATTGTTTTTATTGTATTTCTATATAGCAACCTTGAACCGATTTTTTTCGAAAAAATATATGGTTTCAAGGAAAGTGGTAGAACAAAAATTGTTCCATACCATAGGACTTTTATATCCTTAGTATACCCTTTCCGACTAACTTTTTAACCACCCTGTAGGGTGTGGAACAGAGTAGAGCTGCGCGTGGAGCGTACGGGCGCGGGCGCGGTGACTGCCAGCAACAGCAGCGGGCCCGCTGCGGTCACGCTGCGTGCGTCGCGCGTGTGGCTGGGCGCGCCGCCCCCCGCGCCCCCCCGCGGCCCCCCCGCGCCCCCTCCGTCGCCGTCCGGCCTGCCCGGCTGCGTGCACGCGCTCTCCAGCGACGACAACTCCATCGGACTTTGGAACTTCGTGGAGCAGCCGAAGGAAGCTCAGTGCACCGGCTGCACCCAGAGGTCGGTTGACAGTATTATAAAAATATGTAAACAGTATAGTGATTGCCCATTTAAGAAAATTCTACTGGTTTTATATGTATATAAATGTTTATTAAAACAATAGGTATGTGAGTGTCACCTCTTTGGTAACATTAATAGTTTAGCTAAGAGATCCAGTAGTAACAATTTAAATATCTTAAGAAAACTAATAATTACAAGGTTTAACAAAAATAACCTCTAAAAGTATAGTGATTGCCCGGACCAGATAGTCATTGCCTCACGCATCACATAGTTATTGCCCACATAGCATTAACTGCTATAGTTTAAATCTAGTTAAAAATATACCATGTAAACATTAATTCTTATTGTTTAGGAATGTTGACAAACATTAATCGTTAAAGCAAAACAATGTCTCAAGTTTTAAAGACTTTATTTAATATTTGAGATCTTTTATAGCTTTTTGTATATTAGTATACATTTCTAAACAATCAAAATCTCTTTAGCAGAATAATTTCATGTACTTTATAGTAAAAATGACACAAAAACAAAAGAATATCTAAATATTTTTTATTTGTAGACTTACTACACTAATAAAAGATTTGGGGAACAAATAGACTACAAATAATACCAGCAGTTACGAGAAAGTAAATAAAATGATTCTTGATTATTTTCCATTTGAATGTTCAATATTATAAACGTTTCTAGAACCGTTTTCAGCTACAACTAGTCGCGCACACTAGCAAATATGAAAATTTGTCTCATCTGTATTGAAGACTTGGCTTATTACTTTTTCATCGACATAGCAACATATTTCATGGAACCTAAATCTTTTTCAGATACACATGAGCTTGATTTTGTTCGAACACCTTCAAACTCCGTATACTTAATTTAGGATGTCTCTTTAAAAATACTTTCCACTATCCAATGTCAGGCCTATTATTCACGAATGGATTAGGTCTTGGATTTTCCTCTAGAAATTTTTGAACGCGTCCAAAATATTTTCTTTATGCCTATTTTGGAAAACCTTTTGTGCTGAAGTTGTTATGCTGTCTTCAAGAATAGCTCCTTCTTTAGCAGTTAAAATTGGCACTGAACCCAAGCTGATTTTGTGTCCTGAATTATGTTAAAATATGGAATTTGTCGATCTGAAAACCTGTCTTTGTTATTTTGGATTTCGGTGATTGCCTTCTTTAGGTCTTACGTTTGTATTTTAACTTGGTAATTTATTCTATAAAGAACTAGATAATACTGCTACGTAAATGTATTTAACAAAAATAAACTACTTTAATAGAAATTGCCCGGGCAATAGCTGTACCCAATGCCAATGGCAATAACTAAATACCGATATGGCAATCACTAAAATACATCAAAATAAGATTTAGTAATTGCCCACCCCATATAATTTAAGAGGTAAATTTTACATCACAATACTTCTTGAAATTACACTATAAAGCATTTACTAACTTATTCTCTATAGCAATATGTTTAATATTGTGTGTGTGTTAACACAAGAAATTAAAACAAAAAGTGTATCCTTAAGAAATTCTTTAAGAAACCTACTTTTTCCGATTACCTGGCGTCAACAAATATGCCATAACACCATGTTTTTCTTTAAATTTTGCCAATTTATTATTAAACGTTCTACTAGAGGATCGTTAATGCTATTCGGCGAATTTAATTCGAATTAACTCCTTTATAAATAGGAAATGTATCATCTTCTTACTGTGGCAATATCTATACACTGGGCAATCACTGTAGTGTTTACCCTACTTGTATATCTTCAGGACTGGTATCTTAAAAGAAGTAGTGAGAGTACAAATGGCGTGGTGAATGCAACACTTTCACATTTTTGTTTACTTCATTTTAGTCTATTACTTCACTTTCCCCAGATATTAATTTCCAGGTTTTTTATAAATCTGGATTTTATACACATATTTCTTACATCATATGTACTTTAATCTAACTACCAACTAACTGAGAGCATACGTATTACAGGGTTGTTGTTTTTATCTACATTTATTTTATATCTCTAACTATTCTATTATTACTATATTATATATTTGTATACTCACTGTACAATACAATATAGTTTTACTTGCTATTTTATTTATTACTATTTTGCTATATTCTAAAAATTTCATTACTTTCTATAATCTCTTTGTATTTTTGTTCTTTTACTTTTGATTTACATTTATTTAGACCTAAACGTCATATTTATGGAACGATGAAAACGACTCTAATGGTGAGTCCAGACTAAGCCTAGTTTCAAGTTACAAAGTCAAATATAATATGAGGTTTTAGAAGTGTAACCGTGTACAGATGGGTGGGGGGTCGCGGCGGCGCGGGGGGCGCGGGTGGCGCGGCGCTGGCGCGGTTCGGCGGCGGGTACGTGGAGCTGCGGCGGGCGGCGCCGCGCGCGCCCGACCGCCGCCACTTCAGCCTCGCCTTCACCTTCCGCACCACCGACCCCGACGCGCTGCTCTTCATGGCGCTGGACGCCGGCAACGTCAGTACACACTACTTTTCATAATACCTGACTTTAAATGACACATTCTTTCGCGATTAGCAGCGCGCGCGTTTTAACGCGAGAGAACCAACGCGCGCAAGTAAGTGTGTAATTGTTTTCTATTTTTTTTTGTGTGCACTGTTACGCGCGTGATAGCTCGTATGTTCCAGTCTATTCATATTCTTTAAAATGTTATATTTTTTTCACCACACGTTTTATTTTCCAAAGATATGTTTAATTATTCTTTGTCTTAATACGCGTTTTAACGCGAAAGAACCAACGCGCGCAAGTAAAAGTGTGTAATTGATTTCAATACTGTTACGCGCGTGATAGCTCGTATGTTCCAGTCTATTCATATTCTTTAAAATGTTATATTTTTTTCACCACACGTTTTATTTTCCAAAGATATGTTTAATATTTATAAATAATCAATAACTCTATAATTATGTATGTCTTCCCTCTATACTCGGAAGTCCTAGTAAATTTTGTTTAACAGATTCTTGATATTCCTTTGATAACCACGCTCTTCCTAGACAAAAAAGTATATGGCCTGAACATTTTGAAAAATTAACAAAGTTCACAGTGTAGTACCCTACAAGTGCCTATAGCCACGCACAAGGCTATATGTCCTAATCATTTAGAAAAATTAACAAAATACGTCAGTCACAGTTATAAGATTTGTGCTACATGTTCCTGCCAATTCTGTTATGATATTGTGTGTGTGTGCGTGCACAGAACCGGTCGGTGTGCGTGCGGCTGGAGGCGTGCCGCGTGGTGTTCGCGGTGCAGTACGGCGGCGCGCGGCTGCGCATCGCCGCCGCCGGCCGCCACTGCGACGGCCGCCCCGCGCACGTGCAGGCCATCCGCGTCTTCGCCTCCAACAACCTCGAGAAAGGTACCGTGCCCTGACATTCAACTCACCTCACTCGACTCCCCTCCCTATAGGATCCAAGTAGTCCCCAAAGTGGTGGAGGAGGTAGTTTATTATCATCAGTCTTACCGAGCTATCACTTTATAAAAATTTGTACTCGTAGATATCTCGGTCCTACCTCATGTTTTCAGCATAGGAGTGAAATTATAGAGTACAGAAATGTGACGTAAATTCTTCTATATTATACACTTGAAATATAGAGTTCTAAAATCTGCTTAACTTAGATGAAATAAAAAGAAAATTAAAACCTTAAAAAAGTATAATTTTTTCTTCTCAAATAATTGCAATGAGAATATTAATCGTAGGCTTGTCGATGTATATGTTATAAAAAGAACTACATTTGAGGTCAAGAACTCAAACATATAAAGCAAAAAGCAGTCAAAATATACGCAGTTAGGGTGTATTCTGGAATGCTCGCAAGCGTGGGCATTCCGTGAGCGCATGGTCGGCAGGCAGCCTGCGCGTGAACGGCGAGGAGACGCTGGGATCACCATCTCCACCGGTGCAGACGCCGGACGCGCTGCCGGATCTAGCCGGAGCGCCATACTGGCTGGGCGGTCTGCCGCCGGAACGCCGGCCTGGGACTGTTCCAGCCCTGCGCGGCTGTCTTGGTGCAGTCTCCGTCGACAGGGAGGCCTATGATCTTATGGACACCCCCGCCAGGGATGGTGTCGAGCCCTCGTGTGGAGCCACGGTCAGTATTTTTGTTCAGAGTATCCATATCGAATGACATGTAAAGGATGACCGGAGTACAAAAATATGTGGAAACTGAGAGGATGAAGGAAAAGCAAGTACTTTGTCACTTGATATGTTCAGCCAAACTGTCCACTTGGGATCATGCAGTTTCTTGTTCACCTAATTTTAGTCAATCAAATAATAATAACGATTAACGACCTAGGTCTAGCGGTTTAGGACACCGCTTTATTTCAGATTATTGCGGATTCTAATTCTCGCAAGTGTTAATATTTGTGTTCAGGATTGTTTCTATTGGTTTGAATCTTTTCTATGTATGTACAAAGAAAATGTATTTGAGTATTTCTATCAGTTGTGCAGTACCCATATTACAAGGTCTGCTTTGCTCAAGACTAGAATCTATGTGAAATGACGGTGTGGAACTAACGGTACTTCACTCTAACAGTATAGTTTGGTAGTAAGATTTTATCCAAGGCCGTTACTCAAGATGGTACGGATGACTAGAATTCAAATGAGATGACTCCGTGGACCTTACGTTGTTTCACTCCAGCAATATCCTCGAGTAGAAAGCTGTTGCTCGGGGCCGGTTCCCATGATGGTACGGAATACCTAGAACCCAAATGACATAACGCTGTAGAACTTATTTTGCTCACCCCAGCAATGTTCTCGAGTAGGAAGCTCTTGGGGCCCATACCCAAGATGGTACGGATGATGAGAAGTGAGATCACGGTGTGGCACTGATGATTATTCACCCCAACAGTATAGTCGGGTAGGCAGCTCATTGTCAAGGTACTCTTGCTCGAAACCGGTACCCATGATGGTACGGATACCTAGAATCCAAGTGAGATAACGCTGTAGAACTTACCTCGGTTCACCCCAGCAATGTTCTCGAGAAGGAAGCTCTTGCTCGAAGCCCGTACTTATCGAAGGTGGTAAGAATGATGAGAATGTAAGTGTGTGTGGTGTGTGTGCAGGCGGTGCGGGCGGTGGTGGTGGAGGGGGCGGGGTTCGTGGAGGTGCGGCAGGCGGCGTGGCGGCGGCGCGGCGCGCTGGGCGTGTCGCTGCGCGCGCGCGCGCCCGCCGGCCTGCTGCTGCTGGCCGCGCCCGCGCCAACACACCGCCTCCTGCTGCGACTCGTCGAAGGTACGTGCACACTACACTATAGTAACGGTATACAAACATACAGTTAGATCACCAGTTTACCTTTCAAACGATCGCGTCTCACATCTACACTCACCAATTTACCTTTCAAACGATTTTAAACCTTATTTTTATTTATAATTATAGCTGCATTTACACGTACGATTTTTCATACGTAAATCTGCTTTTATGCAAGAAAGTGTGTGTATGTAAATGTAGACAAGGACAAGGAGAAAAAACATGCGCGTTCTCTCTTCGTTCAACACTTTTTGTAGTAATTATATTTGCAAAATGTCGGACATCTAATTGAAATAGAAATAGAAATAATCTTTATTCAAATAAACTCATTACAAGCACTTTTGAATAATCATATTTTCATTCTACCTCTCATTCGGAATGCAGATTCACCACAAGAAACTTGTGTGTTGCTCTTTTGAATAGATGTTTTTTTTTATAATAATTACAGTATAACCAGTAAGAGGCATACGATAATCAACATAGAAATCGCTGCGCACTCATTATTACTGTAATCAGATAATATTGTCAGTGCTATCGATTTTAATTTTTCTATTAAAACATTATTGTCGTTACCGAATTCTTCAATTTTATAGTAAAGGAAGTGTTTTATAGTTTTTTCAGGTAGATTTATAATTAATAATTACGAAGCAAATACATAATTATAGAATTATTGAATTTTTAAATCTTAAAAGTGTCTTTGTAAAATACAAATGTATGAAAATAACATACACGCAATCATGCACGTAAAAGTGAACACAAAAATAGTTCAATGCAATCATGAGTGATTGCACGCACTGACTTTCTCGTGCTCTTGCTCGCGCGTGACAGAACGTATCGTGTAAAGACCAGAGTAATATGTAAACCAGCTTCCTACTAATGATGAAATATAACAATTTAATGATAGTATATCGAAATAGAAACTATAGATATGCCAACTGGTGGGATCGATGGAAGGAGATGATACTGCGCCGACCACAAATAATAGAATAAAGGTAAACCATGCCAAATATGTCAACCGTCATACTCGTGAACGGGTGCTGCTTGTAGGGACTGGTCTGCTCTTATTAATTGTTTAACCAGTTGGTTGTATATTCTAATTATTATCGAGGGAACTAGTATTAAAATGGGTGTTCCTCAGGGCTCTATTCTAGGTCCTTTCTTATTCTTAGTTTACATAAACGATCTTCCTTATATGGTAGAAAAGATAGCTGACATAGTTCTGTTTGCTGATGATACTTCATTAGTATTCAAAGTCAATCGACATATTGATGATATAAGTAAACGGTTCTCTCTCTTATGTTTTAAAATGGTTTACGGCAAATAATATGCTACTAAATGCAAATAAAACTAAATGTATCAAATTTACTCTCCCCAATGTAAGGCCGGTAGATTCAAAAATCGTATTGGACAATAAATCTATTAATTTTGTTGACGATACTGTATTTCTAGGTATCACATTAGATTCCAAGTTGCAATGGGGTGCTCATATTACTAAATTGTAAGTTCTGCCGCTTATGCAAAAGAATTAGACAATTAACAGACGTGGCAACGGCTAAACTTGTCTATTTTAGCTATTTCCATAGTATTATGTCGTATGGTATTTTATTATGGAGCAAAGCATCTGATATAAATACAATATTTACTTTACAAAAGAGGGCCATTCGCTCCATTTATGGTATGGGTTAAGTCATTAGTGTTGTAAGGAATCAAATATCCTCACTGTTGCTTCTCAATACATTTATGAAAATATCATCTATGCCAGAAGGAATATAGGCAGTTTCAAAAGAGTTAGTGATTGCACTAATAAAAGCTTACGTAACAATAACAAACTTATTTTACCTAAATGTCGTTTGATGTAATTCGTTTTATGGCAATTGCGTAAGGTTTTACAATAAAATACCAGAGTCTGTTATAAATCTGGCACACAAAAAGATTTAAATGTCAAATAAAACAGTTCCTTTGCAAAAAAGCTTACTATAAAATTGAAGAATTCGTTAACGATAATAATGTTTTTATAGAAAAACTTTAAATCTATAGCACTGACAATATATATATATATATATGCGTATCTATGTTGATTATCGCATGCCTCTTACTTGTTATACTGTAATTATTTATATAAAAAAAAACATCTATTAAAAAGAGCAACACACAACTTTCTTGCTCATTCTTCTTGTGATGAATCTGCATTCCGAATGAGTGGTAGAATCAAAATATGACTATTCAAAAGTGCTTGTAATGAGTTTATTTGAATAAAGATTATTTCTATTCAATATTTTTTCTATTTGAGTATTTAATTGAATTAGTGCTAATTGGTGGTTTGTATTCACACACTTAAAGTTAAAAATGTAAAGTAATAATAAAATTATTTAAAAGAGCAACACGCAAGTTTCCTGCTCGTTCTTATTGTGATGAGACAGCTTTCCGAATGAGCGGTAGATTAAAAAAATGAAATGACTATACAAAAGTGCTTCAATGTAAGTTTATTTGAATAAATGATTTTCTATTCTATTCTATTCTATGATGATAACTTATCTATAGAAATCTTCCTTTTCAGGTGAACTAGAAGTGATAGCGGCAGCGGGTAAAGATGAACTGCGGCTGCGTACCAACGGTACAAGGTTTGATGACCGCCGCCTGCATACTGTACGTCTGATACGCGCACACAAACAGGTGAATGACGTTTTGTGTTTCTTATCTAGTATTTATAAGTATTTGACATATAATAAAATATATATATATATGTATATATTATATGATACCATTGGTATACCACTATGTCTGGTTCATCAAAAAACCAGAGAAATATATATATGTATATGTATAATGTGACGATGGTATACAATTTGTCACATTTATCTTTTTTTTTCCGAACTACTCTAATGCTGTTGGCCGCAGCTGGCCTTTACAGCTTCACCGGATGTTAGAGGGCGAGTGCAGATGGCACTCCAAACCCGCGGAAGGACTTTGGAATGAAGGCCAACTCCTGCCTGACGGATACGACTTTAGTCTGAGGGCACCGCTAGGGGTTCGAACCTCGGCTCAGGCCGTCGTAATATCGATCCCCGTTTGAATTGGACGGAGGATCGATCGGAGGGGGACATTTATCTAGAAACCCAATAACGCAAATAGAACTAAAGAAAGAAAGCACAAAAATATCATTACAAGAGAAGAATTCTTTTTCTTAGTTCTTAGTAAGAAGTCTGTCTGTTTGTTCCGGCTAATCTCTGAAATGGCTGGACCGATTTTGACGGGACTTTTTTTGACAGGTAGCTGATGTAATGAGGAGTAACTTAGGCTACTTTTATTTTAGAAAAATGAAGTTAAATTCGACGCGGACGAAGTCGCGAGAATAGTTAGTAAGAAATAAAATTGTAAAAGAAAATTAAATAACTTGAAACATGCGTAATCACGGACGAAAATGCGAGCAGAAAGATAGTTAAATGTACACAAAAACACTCACGATTGCGCGTGCTGGCTTTCTCGCGCTCCTAATCGTCAAAGAACGTGGCAGCTAATCTTATATATAAAATTCTCGTGTCACAGTTTTCGTTCCCATACTCCTCCGAAACGGCTTGACCGATTCTCAGAAATTTCGTGAACGTATTGAGTAGGTCTGAGAATCAGCCAACATCTATTTTTCATCCCCCTAAATGTTAGGGGTAGCCCACCTCTAAATTTTTTTTTATATTTTAGACAAAATTTTTAGTTTCTATTTTTTTATGATACAACATACAAAAATACATACAATCCTAAATTTTCACCCTTCTATCATCAACCCCTAATTTTTTATAGCGCTATTAATTTATATGGCAAAACGTTTGCCGGGACAGCTAGTAGTAGTATATAAAGATGATGTGCAAGCGGTAATTTAAAAAATTTATCCTAATTTTGTTGGCTCTGGTTTGTCAAACATTTGCTCCAAATTCATATAACTTCCAACATTGAGAGTTAAAATTTTTAATCAGCTTTTGGTACTTTTTCCAGCTAGAACTCTGGGTGGACGATGCGAGGCTGGCACATGGTCCTTTCTCGGGTTCAGCATTCCCTGCTCGTGACGACGGTTTCTTCATAGGTGGCGTCGATAAAGAGACCGCCAGAAGTATGTCCAAGGACCTCACTGTTGGGTTCACGGGGACCATTGCTGACGTCATCGTCGATGGACAGTGAGTACTTTTTATGTATGTTTAACGACCAGTAGATACAGGGTTTGTGCGGATTACTAGTACTGTAGAGATCATTGTAAATGATAATAATAATAAATCCATTTATTGCCAATTTCAGTATAGTTACATAATGTAGGGATCTTTATTATTTTATGCGTATTTGTTAAAATAAACAAGCACTTATTTCCACGACTTTCTGAAATTGTAAATCGCAATAGACGTGACATTGATAAATTATGTATTAAAATATCTACGACAAAGCTTATGCATGACAGTATATTATTTATGGGACCTAAAATATATAATAAGTTACCTAAATACTTGAAGAGCCTTCCCAATAATGTATTTAGAAATAAATTAAAGAGGTTGTTGATTGACAAATGTTATTATAGTATATCGAATTTTTTAGACGATAAATTTTACGAAATGTTTTATTAGTTTTATATTATTGTACATATACTTAAGTTGTAGTTTTTGTATTATTATGACATCATTCTTTTTTATTATTGTTTAACATTTAAATTTAATATTTTATTGTAGCATTTAAATATATTGTATGCCATCCAGGTTAAACATGTCGGACAAATTCCTTGTATGTATATCATCTACTTATGCAATCACGCACGTTTTACAAATAAAAAATCTTGCATCTTGAATCTTTATTATAATAAAGGACAGCCTCTGTTACTCTGTTACTCCTTTTATAAACTTAGATTTATATAGATGATCGATTCATAATTTGCAATGATTCAAATTCTCTAATAATTTATTCCGTAATTTGAAATGAATTAATGTAATGATTTGTTTAATATAATTAAATATAATTCATACAATGACTAACTACTTATGTAATTCAGGTTGATAGGACTGGAGGACAACGTGCGAAGTGTGGGCGCAGCTCTGGGCCGTGCGGAGCCCGAGCCACGTGCGGAGCCGCGGGTGCCGCCCCGGGCGCTGCAGCGGCCGCCGCCCGCCGCCGGCTGCTCCCAGGTACGACCACATCATACCACACTCCACCACAGTACACCACACCACATTTCACCACAGTACACCACACCACACTTCACCACAGTACACCACACCACACTTACCACAGTACACCACACCACACTTCACCACAGTACACCACACCACACTTCACCACAGTACACCACACCACACTTCACCACAGTACACCACACCACACTTCACCACAGTACACCACACCACACTTCACCACAGTACACCACACCAAACTACACCGCACTACATCACGTCACAACACACCACACCACACTTCACCACAGTACACCACACCAAACTACACCGCACTACACCACGTCACAACACACCACACCACACTTCACCACAGTACACCACACCAAAATACACCGCACTACACCACGTCACAACACACCACTCCACACTTCACCACAGTACACCACACCAAACTAAACCGCACTATACCACGTCACAACACACCACACCACACTTCACCACAGTACACCACACCAAACTACACCGCACTACACCACGTCACAACACACCACACCACACTTCACCACAGTACACCACACCAAACTACACCAAGTCACAACACACCACACCACACTTCACCACAGTACACCACACCAAACTACACCGCACTACACCACGTCACAACACACCACACCACACTTCACCACAGTACACCACACCAAACTACACCGCACTACACCACGTCACACCACACCGCACCACACCACGCAGTACACCACACTATACACCACACCACAGTGTATAGTGGTCCGCCGCCACTACACTGGTGCTGTTGTTGTTGTAGCAGTCTGCGTCGTACACGGTGGAGGCGGGCGCGCTGAAGTTCGGCGACGCTGCCGGCAGCCACGCCACGCTGCGGCTGGGCGCGCGCGGCGGCGGCCAGCTGGCCGTCTCGCTGCAGTTCCGCACGTTCGCCCCGGACGGCGTGCTGCTGCTAGCGCCGGTAAGCTGCGCATGCGCTATAGTTTTTGTTCGAGGTTTATAAATAAAAATACACGGTATAACAGAATATTACCGTCTTATTAATCTCCCTTCCTCCCATATTGTGATGTTGTTATGTAGTGCATCGATTAGAAATGTCGGTGAATTATAAATTATTCGCCATTATTCCGCTTTTTCATTCAAATTTTTTAAAAAAAAGTTCTGCTTTAATTATTTACATACAGATTTCAAGAATTATGTTCCCTTAATTAAGGGATTTGTATTTATTTTTGTGGATGATAATGGAATGGTGCACCCGCCTGCGCTAACGGTTTACGCTGGCGGAGCACCAGTGGAGGATGATAAGATGAGCATGAGGTCAGGTCAGTTAGCCCATCGTGACAAATTCACCAGGAATTTAACACGATGGTTTCCAGGGGGAACCGCGTGGAGGTCAACCTGACAAGGTACATTGCTAGGGTTATCAATCCACATTACTAACAATCCCCTTCCCCCCAGGGATTTGTATTATTTTGTTTAATTACACTACTGTCAGCGTGTGTGAGACCACAAATATTCTATGGTGTATCCACCTGTGCTAACGGATCTGGATGAATGGCGGTCTTCCACAGTGCGGTTTTCTAGAAACTTTTTGCCTCGCACAACCACATTATGGAATCACCTTCCAGCAATGGTATTTCCGAACCCATACGATATTGAAACCTTCAAGAAAAGAGCTTATTCCTTTTTAAAAGGCCGACAACGTACTTGCAATTCCCCTGGTGTTGCGGGTGCTCATGAGCGGCGGTAATCACTTACCATCAGGTGAGCCGTATGCTCGTTTGTCCCCTGTGTTATATAAAAAAAAGGTATTTTACCTTCAGCATGAAGTTAGGTCAGTTGGCCCATCATGACAAATTCACCAAGAATTTATCACGATGATATCCAAAAGGAACCGCGAGGTAATTATGATATGGTATATTGCTAGCAATGGACTCATCAGTCCATCCGACCCCCTTTCCCCCCTCTCTTCATAAGTATTTTTTTCTACTAAGTAAGAAGTTCACCTTAGGCACATTTCGATTTCCTCCCTCTTTGTAAGTATAGATATTGATTTTAACATTAAAATCAACAGGGTTCGAAAACGAAGCCGAAGCATTACACGGTGTTGTTAGTGCGCGAGGGCAAGCTGGTGTTGATAGTGCGCGGACGCAAGCGGCGCGAGTTTTCACTCGCCGCGTTCGTTGCCGACGGCACCTGGAGAACTGTTAGTTTAGTTTTCAATGTATCTTATATGCTATAATAATTTGCTCTATTTTATTTCTATTTATAACACTTTATTGCACCAACAATATATAGACAAGAGCAGAATTATTTTAAAAATAAAACTACAGTCCGGCCGATCAAAATTTGCGTTTCTGACATGTCGGGATTGTATGGGCGATGTAACTTTGAACTGACGTACAATTTACGGCAAAATTTTAAATATTTCAGACAACCTTTGGTAATAACAAAAAATATATAAAGTAAGTGATGCATGAAACTAAATAAATTAGGAAAATAAAAAAACATTGCCATAGTAAGCGAGGAATTGAACCCGCGATCGTGCGGTGTGCTAGACCGCTAGACAACCAAGACCATCAGTAATGCCCGCAATCTTCCGTGGCAGGTATCTGTACGAGCGAGTCGGAACCGCGTGACGCTGTGGAGCGAGGGGGAGACTGCCGGGGGCGCAGCCTCCGCGGCACACGCGCGCCGCCTGCACCTCGGTGGCCTACCGCCGCCACCTGCTCTACCACACCTGCCTGCTGCGGTCAGTACCACCACCACAATCAAGTGACTGACTGACAGAGATCAATCACACCCTTTTATGGGAGTGAAGGTCGGGACCTCGAGGCCCCTTTGTCACGACATCAACTCCGGGGGCAACATTCCACGGGGAACCATGTGACTTGTTGACACTTGTCATCTGTCCCTTTCTAGGAGGCGAAGGTCGGGGCCTCGGGGCCTCTTTGTCCTGACATCAATTCCGGGGGCAACAATTTCCGGGAAACTGACTTAAGAGCTTAGGACGGGTTACTTAACCACCAAGTATACAGAAACATAATCATTTCATTCAGCTGCCTTTACACGTACGCTTTATCACATGCGTATCGGCTTTCACGCAGGAAAGAATGTGCATGGAAATGTAAATAAAGAGAACAAGAAACATCACGCAAGTCGCTTGCGCATTCCTGTGTTCTTCAATCGTACGTACTCAAAACGCTTAACGTAATTGTAATAATTGTTATCATTACAAAATGACAAACTTCTGATTATGAAGCAAACACATAATTATAAAGTTATAGCGCGAAATAGTGAACAGAAAAAAATGGTTAAACATGACTACTTATTGGCTGTAACGTCGTGCGATACTAGTCAGCTGAAAGTATTTAATTATAATTACAATTGTTTATTAGTGGCTTAGCATATTTTATAAATGTATAAACATATATTAACACTGGTTTACGATAATAATTAAGTGTTAATTTAACCCTTAATAATAAATGTTACTAGTGTTAGAGTTCACATCAATATTGACGAAAAATCTGATATTTTAAAAATATTAAAAGAAGGTAGTTTCATTATTACCTACTCGGTCTCGTTAAACTATTCGCGTATAACCCACTCATATCTTCTCTGTATAAAAGGGAGGGTTTTTGTAAGCCGCGACATTCGATCTTCGAGCACAGGATGTGCTGGTTGTATTTTAAAATGCTAAAGTATTAGAGACATAGTTAAATTAATGCTGTATAGTTGTTATTTTATTATAATACACACTTTTACTAGTACATAGAGTTGATTTATCTCACAGTAGTGAGCGGTGAGTGTAAAGTTCGCACGGTGTACACGGTGCAGGTGCGGCGCTGGGCGCGGCTGGTGGGGTGCGTGCGGCGCGTGCGCGTGCGCGGGCACGCGCTGGACGTGGCGCGCGAGGCCGCGCTGCACGCCGTCGGACAGTGCTTCCCGCGCGTCGAGCGCGCCGCATACTTCGCAGGTTATTTCTTTATTACTAGCTGTACCCGCGGCTTCACCCTCAAAGTTGTAGCCTATGTATAAGCTATTGTGAAGGACTCCTTCCTTTGCAATAGCTTATACATCATAATAACATATAAGGTTATTATTCAATCAAGAAATTATTATGAAATAATATAATAGTAATCTCAGGACAATTCACACAGTGCCATCTAGACCCAGCTTGTGTTATGGGTACTAGATAACTGATACAAATACACATATTTTTTTTCGTAAATACATACATAATATACATCGAAAACACCCAGACCGATACAAATGATCATACTCATGAATACAAATGTTTGTGCCGTGCGAGGAATCGAACCCGCGACCATTGGACGTAAAGCAATGTGCTAGACAGCTAGACCACCGAGGTCCTCAAATGAAATGATTATGGTTTAAATCAAGACGACGAGCAAAGAAAACGGCACCAGTATAGCAGAATATTGTAATGACTTATATCACATGTAAAACAATATAGTGTTTATAAAAGATATAAACAATATTTATAAAAAAAGATTTATAAACAGTTTCCAACAGCTATATTAGTGTAAAGTGCGTGAAAGAGTAACAAACTTTCGCGTTTATATATCGCACACAAAATTGTATACCTACATAGCCGATCTCTCCCGATCGGTCCAATTCAAACGGTGATCGAAATTACGACGGCATGACCCGAGCTACGAACGATCTCTCCTGATCGGTCCTCCGTCCAATTCAAACGGAGATCGAAATTATGACGGCATGAGCCGAAATTCGAACCTCTAGCGGTGCCCTCAAACTATAATCGTATCCGTTAGGCAAGGTGGCCATTAGCCGCTCTGTAGGTCCTGCGCGTTTGGAGTGTCATCTGCACTCGCCCCCTATATATTATGTATGTATTAAAAAAATGTATTTAAGTGTCTAATATCCAAAATACAAGCTCTACTTGGCTTGGAACTTTTCGACGCTGTGCGGATTGTCGTAAGAATATTTTCATATTTATTCGGACAACCTGACGATTAACCGACTGTATATCAGCAGCTTTATTTAGAAAAAAGATAAGTATTTTTTGTGATAACAAAATACTTCTAACGCACAGGTGATGCGTACGCAACGTGGTCATCATCGCATACATTATGGGACGAGGGTGAAGTGCTTGAAATACGTCTACAATTTCGCACGTCCGAGCCAAACGGAGTACTGTTTGCAGTCGACGATCTCATACTCGAGCTGAAAGACGGCGTTGTGAGTATCAATACAATATCAATTACTGTTGTATGTAAAATTGAGATATATTTATTACTTCAAGAAAGAAGAATATTTTATGTTCCATGTCTATTTTATAGAAAATTGCTTAACTAATACAGATGTGTTAGTTAAGCAATTTTCTAAACTCTTTTTAGTGCTCAGCGCATCGTGGAAGCGAAGCTCGAAGGACCAATTTTAATTGGTCCTGGAGCTTCTTCGAATCATGTAAAAAGTAAATTGTTTAGCAGTAACATTGTTGGGTGGTGCGTAGGTGGTGCTGTCTCGCGGCGAGGAGGTGGTGGAGTGGGGCGGCGCGATGTGTGACGGCGCGTGGCACGAGGCGGAGGCGCGCGCGTCCGGCGGCGCGCTGTGGCTCGCCACCGACCGCGGGCCGGCGCTGCGGGCCGCGCGCCGCGCGCTGCTCGCTGACCGGCCGCGCCCCACGCCGCGCGCGCCGCTGCACCTCGCCGGCCTGCCCGGTACTCTCTCTCTCTCTCTCTCTCTCTCTCTCGCCCCCGACCGCGGGCCGGCGCTGCGGGCCGCGCGCCGCGCGCTGCTCGCCGACCGGCCGCGCCCCACGCCGCGCGCGCCGCTGCACCTCGCCGGCCTGCCCGGTACTCTCTCTCTCTCTCTCTCTCTCTCTCTCTCTCTCGCCGCCGACCGCGGGCCGGCGCGCGGCGCCGCGCGCGCGCGCGCCGCCGACCGGCCGCCCGGTACTCTCTCTCTCTCTCTCTCTCTCTCTCCACGACCGCGCGCGCGCGCCGCTGCACCTCGCCGGCCTGCGCGCGCACCTCTCTCGGTACTCTCTCTCTCTCTCTCTCTCTCTCTCGCCCCCGACCGCGGGCCGGCGCTGCGGGCCGCGCGCCGCGCGCTGCTCGCCGACCGGCCGCGCCCCACGCCGCGCGCGCCGCTGCACCTCGCCGGCCTGCCCGGTACTCTCTCTCTCTCTCTCTCTCTCTCTCGCCACCGACCGCGGGCCGGCGCTGCGGGCCGCGCGCCGCGCGCTGCTCGCCGACCGGCCGCGCCCCACGCCGCGCGCGCCGCTGCACCTCGCCGGCCTGCCCGGTACTCTCTCTCTCTCTCTCTCTCTCTCGCCCCCGACCGCGGGCCGGCGCTGCGGGCCGCGCGCCGCGCGCTGCTCGCCGACCGGCCGCGCCCCACGCCGCGCGCGCCGCTGCACCACGCCGGCCAGCCCGTGACTCTCTCTCTCTCTCTCTCTCTCTCTCTCTCTCTCTCTCTCTCTCTCTCTCTCGCCCCCGACCGCGGGCCGGCGCTGCGGGCGGCGCGCCGCGCGCTGCTCGCCGACCGGCCGGCACCCACGCCGCGCGCGCCGCTGCACCTCGCCGGCCTGCCCGGTACTCTCTCTCTCTCTCTCTCTCTCTCTCGCCCCCGACCGCGGGCCGGCGCTGCGGGCGGCGCGCCGCGCGCTGCTCGCCGACCGGCCGCGCCCCACGCCGCGCGCGCCGCTGCACCTCGCCGGCCTGCCCGGTACTCTCTCTCTCTCTCTCTCTCTCTCTCTCTCTCTCTCGCCCCCGACCGCGGGCCGGCGCTGGCCGCGCCCCCGCGCGCGCGGCCGCGCGCCGCGCGCTGCTCGCCGACGCGGCCGCGCCCCACGCCGCGCGCGCCGCTGCACCTCGCCGGCCTGCCCGGTACTCTCTCTCTCTCTCTCTCTCTCTCTCGCCCCCGACTGCGGGCCGGCGCTGCGGGCCGCGCGCCGCGCGCTGCTCGCCGACCGGCCGCGCTCCACGCCGCGCGCGCCGCTGCACCTCGCCGGCCTGCCCGGTACTCTCTCTCTCTCTCTCTCTCTCTCTCTCGCCCCCGACTGCGGGCCGGCGCTGCGGGCCGCGCGCCGCGCGCTGCTCGCCGACCGGCCGCGCCCCACGCCGCGCGCGCGCGCGCGCTGTACTCTCTCTCTCTCTCTCTCTCTCTCCTGCCCGGTACTCTCTCTCTCTCTCTCTCTCTCTCTCTCTCTCTCGCCACCGACCGCGGGCCGCGCGCGCCGCGGCCGCGCGCGCGCGCGCTGTACTCTCTCTCTCTCTCTCTCTCTCTCTCGCCGACCGGCCGCGCCCCGCGCGCGCGCGCGCCGCTACACCGCGCCGGCCTGCCCGGTACTCTCTCTCTCTCTCTCTCTCTCTCTCTCGCCACCGACCGCGGGCCGGCGCTGCGGGCCGCGCGCCGCGCGCTGCTCGCCGACCGGCCGCGCCCCTCGCCGCGCGCGCCGCTACACCTCGCCGGCCTGCCCGGTACTCTCTCTCTCTCTCTCTCTCTCTCTCGCCACCGACCGCGGGCCGGCGCTGCGGGCCGCGCGCCGCGCGCGGCGCGCCGCCCGCCCGCCCCCCACCCCGCGCGCCCCGCGGCCCCTCGCCGGCCTGCCCGGTACTCTCTCTCTCTCTCTCTCTCTCTCTCTCTCTCTCTCTCTCTCTCTCTCTCTCTCTCTCTCTCTCTCTCTCTCTCTCTCTCTCTCTCTCTCTCGCCCCCGACTGCGGGCCGGCGCTGCGGGCCGCGCGCCGCGCGCTGCTCGCCGACCGGCCGCGCCCCACGCCGCGCGCGCCGCTGCCCCTCGCCGGCCTGCCCGGTACTCTCTCTCTCTCTCTCTCTCTCTCTCTCTCTCTCGCCCCCGACCGCGGGCCGGCGCTGCGGGCGGCGCGCCGCGCGCTGCTCGCCGACCGGCCGCGCCCCACGCCGCGCGCGCCGCTGCACCTCGCCGGCCTGCCCGGTACTCTCTCTCTCTCTCTCTCTCTTTCTCCCTCTCATGTCGCTCTCCCTTGGTCTCGCAAAAGCTTCAAGCAGATGCTTGACGCCAAAATTAATAAAACAGAACGTAACCTAGTGTAAGGTATAAAATTCTTGTTGGTAAGTTAATCCAATTAATTCAAATTTAAACAATTGCAGATGGCGACACTGGTGACAATACGCGAGAGAACTTCAAAGGCTGCATGCGGGAGGTGACGGTCGGCGGACAGAAGCGCGACTGGACCGAGATGGAGACCCTGCACAATGTACTTCTAGACTCGTGCCCGGTGCAGCAGTGACCATACATCATAACTATAGTCGGCAAGACGGCTACATGACCCTATCGAATCATCGAGAAAATCCAAGATCTATAAGTTTCTCCATATATTTAACCATTTAACAGACATAACCAGTTAAATCTGCTACTGTTAATGATGACAAAATTAGACCAGACCATGTGTTTAGACAAGTCTGGACTAGTTTAAAAGATCAGATGGCACTATTTTTTGATGCTACACGATCTATATCCCAGGCTGCTACTTAAGACGTCTTGTACTCAAGACATCAGACCCTAAAAGGGACTTAACTCATCTAAATCATGACGTAATTGATCTAAGAAACATCAAGAAATTTCAAAAAATGTTGTATAGGAATAATTTCCAAAATATTTAGCTGGGCTAGAAATTATTGCACAACGTCGATTATCTAAAAGAACTATTAAAGACTGACGTAGAGAAGTCACAATCTTTTAGAGACGTGAACGCATGGCCGATTCACGCATGACCATAGACTTCGACTAGACTCGATACACTCGTCTAATTTTCCTAGACGTTATCCCACCAGAGAGCAGTCCATATGCTCTGTATTGATCAATGAAGATACGCTCTTAGAATCGTAGTTCTTTTCTTGTCTATGCGCAATTTAGACTGTCTAATCTAATGTATCTATATTAACGACCTACCTCAGTACAATGTGACAGAGGCTATAAAACTATCTGCAGTTACGTACAAACTTTTCGGAAGAAATTCTCAAAATGACATACAATTTATTTCCATGTATAGAAGACCAAAACAGCGAATTTGTTATTCTATTTATCGAAGACTTAACTGTATTAATTTCTTAAAGGTCACGGCAATAATTCCAGAGATCATAAAGATCATAAAGATAAAATTTGCTGGGAATTCACTGCATCCTTACACTTATTAGAGATATCATAGACTAAGTATCTTGAGGCAAAAATAGAGGCTAATGTATAAAGTAGAATTAAGTTAAATATAAGTTAGGTTATTCACTGGGGACGCAATACTCATGTAAATAGACGAGGTACTTAACTACTCACCAGTATTCCTAGCTCGTAATCTTGTACAAAGTTACTTAAGTTACAAATAAACAAGTAGCCCCGATTTAAGTGCCTTTATATCGTAGTTTAATGTAGAATTTGTCTTACACTTTACTAGCGTCTTCGCATGGGAGTACATGTAAACCTTCTGGTAATGGGAATACATGTTAAACTGGATTAAAATCCGTTGCGTAGTTTAAAACAGGGATGTTATGGATATGAAATTTCGGATACGGATGCGGATATGAAATTATTTCGGATAATTTCGGTTACGGATATTAATTTTTTAAGGAACGTCAAAAGTAAAATACAGATAGCTAATAAAATGGTTACATGTCGTGTCTCTGTTAGGCTCCGCCCCTATCCGATATTATCCGAAACTTTTATTTCGGATTCGGTTACGGTTACGGAGCTTCCTAACCTCCCTGGTTTAAAAGATCTAAGTGAACAAAAAGCGGTAGCGACTTCATTTTACACTATCTAAAGATTGCATGGATGTCGCAATTATTTATAAATCTTTGCGTTCAATTTTAGATACCAAATACAGCACATTAGCAAACCATGATTGGACATCATGAGTCGAGTCACTACATCACAAATTCTGACAAAATTTATGTCAAAAAGTTTAGAAACATCTTTCTTATACTGAATTTAAATCATTCTCTTTAACACGATAATATCAGAAAATTTTTCACATGGACCATAGTAACTTTATTAGATAAGTTAGTTAAAAATGTATCAAGGAAACTTAATGTATCACAGAATTTTTGTTTTTGCTAAAATTTCCTGAAAAACACTATTTTTTATGTCACATATATAACTGATATGGCCCTATATTAAAACTTTTTTTCTCGACAAACCGTGTCAGTCTTATGTCTGACGCATCCAAACAAGATACAACAAGTATTAACCTGTTGTTATGAACACAGCGCCTTCTACCAAATCGCGTATGTCAGACATATATATCTAACATGGGTCGTGTAGAACTTCTTAGCGTCAGACACATATGACTGACATGGCTATTAACGTGTTAAATTTAATACGATATATGATTACGCTACCGTGCCCTCAAATTGCATAACATTTCTAGTATATTATGTAAAAGCATTTACGTTGTAGTCATTAGTAGGTAGTTAAAATTAAAGTTATGTACAAAGTGTATTACTGAGGTTTAGTGCACACTACCAAAGTATAAATTGACTTTGCTAATATCATAAAGTCCGTTTTCATAATTACCGCCATCGTCAATGAGAGCAAGTAATTAATAGTAGCAAATGTTGAATGTATTCTGGCAACCTGACAGCTAACCGACTGTATATCAGCAAACCTGTGACGGCTAACCGACTGTATATCAGCAGTCATAATCTTTACGATACACGTATGATGGAGCGCGGAGTGCCGATCAGATTACGCGGTGTGATCAACGGTTGATTTCTTTTTTAATTTGACGACCTCGGTGGTCTAGTGGTTTAGCACACCGCTTTACGTCCGATGGTAGCGGGTTCGATTCCTCCAACGGCACAAACTTTTGTATTCATGAGTATGATTGTTTGTGTCGGTCTGGGTGTTTTCTATGTATAATATGTATGTATTTACGAAAAAAAATATCTATGTATTTGTATCAGTTGTCTAGTACCCAAAACTCAAGCTTTAGCTAGCTTAACTTGGGTCTAGATGGCGCTGTGTGAATTGTCTTGAGATTATTATTATTATTAATTGTAACAATTGAATGCCGCTGGCTGATAGGAACAAAACCATAATTTATTATTATTAAGTACTCAAAGTTACTTGCTTAGATTTATTAATAAGATAAATTTATGATTTAAAAATGATGTAGAAGACGACGTAATTCCATCTAGAAGACAATATTGTCATATATTATCAGGCTAAAGGATACAATTAGATTCACTTTACGAGCAAAGGGGCCGTTCAAGTATTACGTAAGCAGATTTATTACAATTATTTACCCCCCACCCTCCTAGTCAGCAAAAGTAAGCAAAGTTCTTACCCCCTCCCCCCGTGCTTACGTAAACATTTTTAAATTAATGTATTGTTTTTTTAGCAAAGACAATGTGAGGGTTGCCATTCGTGTAAAAAGTAAATAACTAGTGATGACGTATCATCATCTAGTCTCCGCTACCCCCATGTCATCCAAAATAAGCAAAGTAACTAGTGCTTACTTGATACTTGAACGGTCTCATATGTGTTAAAAATATTGATTCACAATTTATTAAATCACATTTATCTATGACATAAAATCGTATTAACCAGAAAGAGTGAGTGATTAAGTGATTGCACTCTGGTCGTCTGCACTAACCCTACTCTACTCTACTTTTTACCGGGGAACCATAAATATGTAAATAAATAATATACCACGTAACTATATAGTCGATCAAGTAGACCAAGTTTCTTGGTCTACCAGAAATGAAACAGTTTCTATTCGTATAAATTTTAGCACTAGTAATATTATTATATTACAAATTTTATATCACAAAAATATGTACTGGAAACTGTTATAAAAACGGAAGTGAATTTGTCTATTTGTTTGTATTGTTTGATATGTTTTCAACATTACACGGCTGAATGAATCTTAAAGAAATTTCATATGATGTTCACTATCTCTGTGCTGAGCAATTTTGTTTTGCACGTTTACCCATATTCAATCGTATTTGTATAAATATTCTGTAATATACTACTATAATTTAACCTATATGTGTGTTAGATACAAATAAAAATTGTTATCTATCTAAGATAAATTGTTATACATAAATATAATATACTTACCCACTACTTCGTGCACAAATATTCAACCCTTTCTAGATTATTTATTGATTTAAAAATTAGCTTATATTGGTCCTCATAATACCATATATTTTTAATCGACTCCAAAAAAAAAGGTTCAAGGTTCTGTGTTCACAAATTGCTTGCTTCATAACTTTTGTCATTTATAAACCATTTTGAAAACAAGTATGCTTTCAGATTAGTCCCATTTTATTAGTGAGTTTTTAAAGTTCAGTTCTATTTGTTTAAAATGATCATCAAATCATGTGATTAAGATAGGTTCAGCCGTTTATATGTTTATGGATAAGTCATGAATGGCAATGCGACGCCAAAGATATCAACTTTGGAAGATAAATAGAACTTTGTATCATTTACCATCATACGCTCTCTAAGGTCCGGCCGCTCAGTTTGCGTTTCTGTAGTGATATGACTAAATAACCTTGAAACAGCGCAGTTTAATGTGGTTTGACTTTTAAAAACTATTGTTTTTATATTTTGTTAAGTAGTTAATTGTTAATAATTAATACGTTTATTGTAAATTTACATATTACATTTTTAATGTTATCACTCGGTAATAAGACAAATAAAATATATTTAAAATTTTGCCGTGAATTGTACGTCAGTTCAAAGTTACATCGCCCATTCGGTCCCGACCTGTCAGAAACAAAACTCTGAGCGGCCGGACTTTAATCAAAGTAGCGAATTGAGAGTAAACGAGACGCCCAATGTTCTGTCTCGTACTTTCTTAGATGCGCAGTATATTAACGCACTTAACACTGATTGTGTTCGTATGTGTAAAGAGGTTCTTTTCAAAATGGCGACTGTGTAGGTATCTCAGTCGCACCTATTTCTGCCAAGCAGCTTGCTTTGTAAGCTGTATTGAGTTAAATAGTGAAATTACAGGTTACGAGGCAGGACATCTTAGTTCGCAATGGCAACACATGAGTGATATCATGTTCGTCACATGATAACGTGATATACATAGTGCTGTTCATGTATATAGGCGACGATTACCACTTACCATCGGGTAAGCCGTCAGATTGTTTGTAATGGAGATATTCAGTGAATATAATAGTAAATAGGCTTAGTTAATAAACGTTTATTGTAGCAGAATTTAATGTTGGAGTTTTGCTACTTTTGTGTATTCTTCTAATCATGGTTATATAACACACTTTATATTTAAAATATCATAATATATTATGCTCCAAAATATAATATGAATATATATAAAATTCTCGTGTCACAATGTTAATTATCATACTACTCCAAAGCGGCTTGACCAATTTTTATCAAATTTTATATGCATATTCTGTAAGTCTAAGAATCGGCTACATCTATTTTTCATACTCCTAAGTCATAAGGGTTGTCCGTCCGTGTTGTAAAATTTTTTTAGGACAATAAAAAATATATCTTCGTCCAGCCATTTCAGAGATTAGCCGGAACAAACAGACGGACAGACACAAAAATTGTAAAAAATATTATTTTGGTGTATGTACCGTATTTACATTCATATGCACGTAGTAAATCAATATTACAAACAGACACTCCAATTTTATTTATATGTATAGATTACTACCGTTCCACTCTTCCATAGCAACAGTAATGTATGTCTGGTGTGATTTATCCAAGAATAAATTATATTTACTGCTGCTCCACTGAATATCTCCACCAGTTCACCATAACAATTACATAAAGCAGAAGGCCAGGACTTATGGTCTGTTAGGAACCTAGTTATTTATTGTACATACAAACATAGGGAAAAGCTTTAATAGTTAACAACAAATGCGGTGTTATATCACAAATAATTTATTATCAAAACGTGTTCAGTAGCTTTACATGTGTAAATATAAACTGTAAATAAACTACATATTTATTGTAACCGCTTTATCGAAATAAAAGTCTGTTATGGCAATAAAAAACATTTATTTTATTTAATTACAGGTCTTACAACACGAGTCTAGCTATTGTTTTGTGGCCGGACCGTATCACATAATAGACAAAAGTAGAGAAATAAAGATGCCTTAGACTAAAATGACGGTCCAACCACAAAACAACAGCGACAACTCTACGAAGATGGAAAATAAAATCGCTGTAGTATAGAGCAATTCATTGCCACTTTTTCAATATTTTATCTGGCAACACGCATTATATAAGTTGATGTAACTAGTACTCAGAGCCGTGATAGAATTAAAAGAGCATGTCGCCATTATATCGATCAGTTTTGATGTAATATGTTTAGCAATAAACATTACACTTTACACTTACAGCGAGTATTGAAGTACTAACTACAGTAAAGGAAAGATTGCCTCGTATTCTGCACTGCGTATCTACCAGTTTACATATATAATTAATTGAATATAAATTTTATGGTAAAGTGAAAGGATTCGTTATACTCGTGTATAACTGAAGCGAATTAATTATGACTCTTTGGATAAACAAATCACGGGAATAGACAAAATTATTAGCTTAAGAATGAAATAATACAATTAATTAGAACATATATATTGCAAAACAGATAATTTATTATAAACATTACCGCTACCCTCATCACTTTCTAACCTATTAACATCACATAGATTTATGTAGTTTTCTCCACTGCCCCATTAAAAAAAAGATTCAATGTTCGAAATTTAAATAAAATATATTTCTAATATTATGGCCAAAACGTTGTTATCTAAAATCTTTACATTGCTTTAAAATTAATGACAATTTCAATTGATTAGAAAAAAAACATATAATCTGCAATATTGTAGATATCAATAATAAATTCTTTTAATAATAAACATATAATCATTTGAAAACAAAATATAACCATAATTTTAATTAAATCCGTTAAAATGCGGAGAAGATAATTATTAATTTAATTTAATTGGCTTTAACTATATTAATGGCTTTTTGACAAAATATACCATGAATTCTTCTTGTCACCAGAAACTTGTTCAGATTGTTCATAAAAAATACTTAATTTAAAGATTATTTAGATTTTATAATTTCGTGGATATATAATTTTTTCGCCAATTAACAGAAATCTAAATTGAATTAATTAATTTCCGCAATGTTCAAAATAAACTTGAGCAAATAACACGTCCAATTGCACGATTTCTAATACATTTGGGACAGAATGGCGACATTGAACGTGATCTCCAACCTTGTTCGCTTGTCACTAAAGTTCACATTAATTAAACAAAGTATATAGTATAATAAAAATCTAGAATCTACTGCCCCGGACGTACGTACCGATTGTGTGGCGACGTTTGACGATACAGATGGGATGGAAAGATGGTGTTTATTTTATATAATATAATATTTATATATTTACTACTTATACTCCGATGTAATTTTACCTGAAAATATACAAAAAATATATTAAAATAAACAAGAGAAGTAGGTATTACCGAGGCTTTGTAAGTACATCTGGGTAGAGTTTGCAAGTTCTCTGCTTTGGCACTATAACTTATTTCAGCCACCAAATATCCTAGCTTAGTTTTGTATTAAAATATATCTGATATATAACGTTATATCCGTGTGTATGTTCAGTAGCTGTAAATTATTATATATAGTTTCACCCCAAACAAATCATATATTAAAATATATCTGATATATAACGTTATAGTCGGCTTGACCGATTTTTATGACATTATGAGAGGTACAGTCGCGCTGCTACTCACCAGCCACCTACTTGGAGAGGTACAGTCGCGCTGCTACTCACCAGCCACCTACTTGGAGAGGTACAGTCGCGCTGCTACTCACCAGCCACCTACATGGAGAGGTAGCCGCGCGCGGCGGAGCGGCGGCGGGCCACCAGGTAGGCCACCAGCACCACCACCACCAGGCCGCCCAGCGCGCACCCCACCGCGATGGGCACCGCGTCCGGCACGTCCCCGCCACCGCACTCGCGAGCTGCAAACAAAACCACACGTGTTAACCAATTATTTAATACTAGCTGTAAAATTTATAGCCTATAATATGTTATTTTAATGGATAAGCTATATTACTGTATGGTTTCATCAAAATCAGTACAGTAGTTTTTGCGTGAAAGAGTAACAAACATCCATTCATACTCACAAACTTTAGCGTTTATAATATTACTAGCTACTCGCCCTGGCTTCGCCCGAGTGTACATGTATTATACATATAAACCTCTTGAATCACTCTATTTGTTAAAAAAAAAAACAATCAAAATCCGTTGCGTAGTTTTAAAGATTTAAGCATACATAGGGACGGACAGACAGCGACAGCGACTTTGTTTTATACTATGTAATGATTAAGATTTATTGACACAAGGAACCAATTATTGACACTATATGTGGAGTATCCAATAATTATATAATTTTGGAAACGTCAGTTTCAAGCTCATTATTGCAAATTCACTAGGGATTTAACATGATAGTATTCAGAAGTTACCGCGTGGAGGTCAATCTGACATGGTACAATGCACATTGGTTTTATTGGTTTCCAAATAAATAAATAAAAATTACAATGCAAAACAGTAACAAAAACTATGGAGTGCTTTAGGACTAATAAATAGACAGTCAAAATCTAATTTAATTTTTTGATATTAGAAACTAAATTCTGTTCTTTATGCATCTATACTTATAAATAGAGTGTCTGTTTGTAATATTGAAAAAACCGTTTTTTACTACATGCATATGAATATATATACGGTAAATATACCAAAATAACAATTTTTATAATATTTGTCTGTCTGTTGGCCTGTTTGTTCCGACTTATCTCTGGAATGGCTGAACCGATTTTGACGGGACTTTTTTTGGCCGATAGCCGATGTAATAAGGAGTAACTTAGGTTACTTTTATTTTCGAAATTTAAAGTTAATTTCCACGCGGACGAAGTCGCGGGAACAGCCAGTTTATTATAAAAAAAAAGTTAAATAAATAACTGTATGTTATGCAGTTCCTATTAAAATAATTATCGTTATCTCTAAGTGGCGGTAGAGCAACCTCGCCCATCGTATCGGAAATGTACGTGCTAAAATTTTATTTTTATCAAATCTACTTTATATGTATATATATATGTATATACTAGCTGTGCCCGCGACTTTGTCCGAGTTCTAATAACCTTGACTATAGTCTTTTAATATGGTCTATGGTCTCTATTTCGTCCTTCTAACTATAAAAATTACAATACTTTCATACAAACTTTCATTTCGCATTTCAACCATTTTTGGAATGTCCCTTCTCAGGGTCAAGATTATTTGTGTGCCAAATTTCATTTAAATCGTTTTTGTAGTTTTGGCGTGAAAGCGAGACAGACAGACAGTTTTCTTCGCATTTATATCAGTAAGAATAACTGAATAAATATTATTTCCATTTATATTAATAGAAGAACTATTAATAGAAATAGAAGTTGATTTCTTTGATTTGTTGAAGAAAAAAATACTAAAAAAAATCTATTAAGAAAGTGATAATATTCCACAGATTGTTATACTAAAAAGTTCAGATATGTGGCGGCGTGGTGGGCCGGGTCATTGGGCTCCCTAAAATATGGTCGAGCGCAGTGATGGCTGGCTCATCTGTCATACTCGTAAACGAGTGCTGCTTGTAGGGACTGGTCTGCTCTTATCACTACGACTGATTTAATCATATTGTATATTTATATTTGACCCAAATAAATTAGTGCTGGTTGGTAGTTTGTATTCACACGTTTCGACTTGTAAATGTGAACTTACAAGTATTATTTAAAAGAGCAATACACAAGTTTCTTGCTCGTTCTTCTTGTGATGAGATCTTTCCGAATGAGCGGTAGATAAAAAAAATTGTTGTGACTATTCAAAAGTGCTTAAATTAAGTTTATTTGAATAATTGATTTTCTATTCTATTCTTCAAATTCAAATTCAAAAATCATTTATTCATGTAGGACATTTTTGCCGCTTATGAACGTCAAGTTTTTTACATTGTAATTTTTTTCTCTACTGTCCAGTTCGGTATATAGATCCAATTGAGAAGAACTGGCATGAAACTCAATTGAATTACTTATTTCTATTCATGATATAGAAAAACGGCTACAATCGATATGAAATTTCGTGGAAATAATATATATATATTGTGATATTCTATACATTCTGTATCATTATCAGCGACCACTAATCATCAGTTATCGGCCGCGCCAGACCGCTGATAACGTAACAAATGTACATTCGAACGATAAACACGAGTATATATTACATGTTTATTTGTTATGAAAATGCGTAATATACTGACTGTTTCATTAACTATTTATAGTGATTCCTTCTTAAAACCTTTTATTTAATAATAATAATAATCTCAGGACAATTCACACAGCGCCATCTAGACCCAAGTTAAGCTAACTAAAGCTTGTGTTATGGGTATGTATATAGTTTCGTAAATACATACATATTATACATACAAAATACCCATACCGATACAAACATTCATACTCATGAATACAAATGTTTGTGCCGTGCGAGGAATCGAACCCGCGACCATCGGATGTAAAGCGGTGTGCTAGACCGCTAGACCACCGAGGTCGTCTTTATTTAAGTTTCTTAAGTGAACAAATATTTTTTTTAATGTTATAAATTATATATGTTGCATAGGGGGGGCATAAGACTATTAGAAAGGCTTTTATTGGGACATGGCATGACATGGCTAAAAAGATTGGCAAACACTGGTATATTGAATAAAAAAAACATTTTTACTACATGCATATAAATACGGTGCATACACTAAAATAACATTTTTTTACGATTTTTATCTGCCTGTCTGTCTAATTGTTCCGGCTAATCTCTGAAATAGCTGGACCGATTTTGACGGGACTTTTTTTGGCAGGTAACTGATGTAATAAGAAGTAACTTGGCTACTTTTATTTAAGAATTTTTTTTTATTTTAGAAAAATATATTTAATATCCACGCGGACGAAATCGCGAGTACAGCTAGTTTATAATATGGGCCAATAGTCACCTGAATTTATTAAATAAAAAAAAATGTATGATTTAGTAACCACTCACCAGCGCTGAAGGACGTGTTGGTGGCGTTTCTGAACGCCTCCTCCTGCAGCTTGGTGAAGGTGATGGAAGCCGCCACGTTGCTGGTCTCCCCGGTCAGCTTCAGCTCGGTGGACCTCGAGCACCGGTATGAAGTAGCCAGCGGCGTCTGCCAGTCCTCACCATGCCATACATCCACGGTTGAATTGATAGCTGTAAAGAAAAAGAACACTTATTAATATTATAAATACGAAAGTTTGTGAGTATAGATGGATTGTTACTCTTTCACGCAGAAGCTACTGAACGGATTTTGTTAAAACTTTACAGTGATATGGCTTATACATCAGAATAATACATCTACACATATAAATAAAATTGGAGTGTCTGTTTGTAATATTATAACCGTTTTTTATTACGTGCATATGAATATAAAGACGGTACATACACTAAAATAACAATTTTTACAATGTCTGTCTGTCGGTCTGTTTGTTCCGGCTAATCTCTGAAATGGCTGGACCGTTTTTGACGGGACTTTTATAGGCGGGTAGCTGATGTAACAAGGAGTAACTTAGGCTACTTTTATTTAAAAACAAATATTTTATTATAGAAAAATAAAGTTAAATTCCACGCGTACGAAGTCGCGGGAACGGCTAGTATTTTATATGAATATATTATACGAACACTGATTAGACTATTTACTTTTGCAATAGCATTTGGCGTTCACTTTATTCTCCCAAAATTGAATTTAAAAATGAATCTGTATTATTGAAAACATGTACAACATTTATTTTAAAAGAATATGAGCTAAGTTTCTTATCAGTTCTCCTCATCTCGAAATCGAATGACGGTACTCATTCCGAACTGACGGTAGATTTGACATATCATAAGAGTCTGTAATATACCTACATGAATACAGTATGTTTATTCGATATACATAAGCAATAATAAAAAAACAAGAAATAGGTTATCAAACACAATTGGAGCATTAATATCTGGTTTTAAATACGAATACGAATACTGGTGGATATGAATTAATAATTGCCACTGGGCAATCACTAGTTGAATTACTATTAATTTTGGTCGAATTTCGACCATTGGGCAATCACTAGTTGAATTAGAATTAATTTCGGTCGAAATTCGACAACTGGGCAATCACTATTTGAATTAGTATTAATTTTCATCGAATTTCGACCATTGGGCAATCACTAGTTGAATTAATATTCATTTTCATCGAATTTCGACCATTGGGCAATCACTAGATGAATTAATATTCATTTTCATCGAATTTCGACCATAGGGCAATCACAAGTTGAATTAGTATTCATTTTGGGCGAATTTCTACCATAGGGCAATCACAAGTTGAATTAATATTAATTTTGGTCGAAGTTCGACCACTGGGTAATCACTAGTTGAATTAGTATTAATTTTGGTCGAAGTTCGACCACTGGGTAATCACTAATAGAATGAAACACTTACTACTGTTGTAGAAGATCTGAGGCACGAGCGATACGTTCAATCCCTTGAAAATGTACGTCTTGGAGGTGTCGTTGGCCGCGAAGACGAGCTTCAGGGTGTTGTTGTAGGTTACATTGCCAGCAGTGATGCCCCACTGCAGCTCGATCCATTGCTCGGTGGTGTTGCAGCTGCCGTCAGTAACGGTCGCGTTCGCTGGCACGTTGACGAGGACATCTGTTAGTGCTGCAACAAAAACAACAGTGTATTATCTATTATATTTAATACACGATAAGAAACATATTTACATGTGTTAGGTCAAATTATAGATTTGTCCTTTCCCACCACTGCTTATCAACCGCTTTCTGTTCGCACCTAATGTTGAGCTGGTAGAGAATGCCATATGGTATTCTGCTCGGCAAATTGTACGATTTTATAAGTGCAATGAAAGTTATATATAAAATTCTCGTGTCACAGTTTTCGTTCCCATACTCCTCCGAAACGGCTTGACCGATTCTCATGAAATTTTGTGAGCGTATTGAGTAGGTCTGAGAATCGGCCAACATATATTTTTATCCCCCTAAACGTTAGGGGTAGTCCACCCCTAATTTTTTATTTTTATTTTAAGGCAAAACAACGTTTTCCCGGACAGCTAGTAAATATATATATATAAGTATAAAATTCAGAATGCTTCCGAGATGAGAAGAACTGACATGAAATTTAGCTCGTATTCTTTTCAAATATGGTTGTACATGTTTACAATATTACAGATTTATTTTTAAATTCAAATTTGGAAGAATGGAGTGACCACCAGCATATATTTATTATTTATTTATTTATTCTTTTGCACACAAAAATGTATACAAGGCGGACTTAATGCCTGATGGCATTCTCTACCAGTCAACAGTCGCATCATATACTATTGCAATTTTGTCAAAAGTAAATAGTGCACCAGTGGTGGATGATAAGATGAGCATGAGGTTAGGCCAGATGGGAGATGCAGCAGAAATTAACCATGCCTGGACGCTACCTGATATGGTACCTTGTTGGCAATGGAATCACTAGTCACCCATTAATGAAGCTAGCGACATTTATATAATTACTACACGTGACCGCGACTTCGTTGGCGTGTTATAGAAACCAAATAAAAAAAGTATATTCAATAATCTGACCCAAAAAAAGCCAAATTCAAAAATTTCATCGGTCTATCTTCAAAAATGACAATATTCCGTACAAACTATCTCCCTTTATTTTATTTTATCCCTTAAGGGTAAAATTTCAATGTTGATTAAATATATTTATCAGTATATATATTCAACAGCCTAAAAAATAAGTTTTCAAGTTTTTTAAAGCTTTAAAAAAGATGAAACTTCCATACAACCCCTCATCTCGCCTTTCAACCCTTAATTACAACCCTTTTTCTTTATTTATATTCAATCAATAAACAAAAATAAGGTTCAAGTTTCTAGCTTTAAAAACGACAATACTTCCAATCAAACTTTCATCTCCCCTTACAACCCTTTTTTCGCATTACATCGCCTATGTCCTTTCTCAGGGTCTAGACTAGAATATCCGCCCTTTTTCTTTATTTATATTCAATCAATAAACAAAAATAAGGTTCAAGTGTCTAGCTTTAAAAACGACAATACTTCCAATCAAACTTTCATCTCCCCTTACAACCCTGTTTTTCGCATTACATCGCCTATGTCCTTTCTCAGGGTCTAGACTAGAATATCCGCCTACCAAATATCATTTAAGACTGTTCAGTAGTTTTGGTGTGAATGAAATTAAATTAAATTAAATGATATTAAATTAAATTAAAATAAGTTAAATTAAATTAATATTTATTGCTTAAAATGTGGTACATATGTGGTTATATGAAACTAATTCTAAAGACCTTAATTGTCTTTAGAATTAGTTTCACACATTTAGTCATATCTGACATACAACAGACAAAACAGATGTCAGTTTAATTTATATTAAGATGAGAACGCGAGACGGACAGACAGACAGAGTTACTTTCGCATTTATATCATTAGTAAGGATAAACTACAAATGGCATGGAAACAAAGAATGTTTGCTTTGTACTTGTAAATAAACATGTAAGACAGTGCCTTGTGATGTGAGTCATGCGCCGAGTTATCGAGGTGAATCACAGCCGTAACACTATCTCTCTGATAATTTACTTACTCGGCAGTCGTGGAGCGACAATGTCAAGTAACTCATGAGTACGTTCACTTACTTAGAATTGCAATTGAAATAGCAATAGAGTTTGATGTTTCCACTTATGTAGAATTACATTAAAATACAAATTTATATATGATACAAAATTATAAAGAAAGAAAAAAGACACAAATATATATAGACGGAAAGAAACAAACTAACAAAAATATCTATTGCCAACCATTGTATTGATAATAAATTAGAATTTAAACATATAGAATCGATTTTGATGATTACACTTCAAAATAATATAGTGTTTACTTTTATAACTATCACACACTAAGATGTGTCTTGTTTTTTGAGAGGATTTTTAGCCTCTGGCATACAATCTGTCTTCACGACTTTAATTAAGATCCCGTTGAGCAGTTTATTTGTGAAAAGCTGACAAACATACTGAAAAACACACTTTTGTATTTATAATATTAGCAAAGATAAAGTGTGGTAGTTACAAAATAATCAAAAATGAATACTGATCAATTAAGAAAAATATTTTTAGAAAAAGGTACATTTAAATTAATACCCAATAATAATAACACCCCTAAACAATTCACATAACACTCTAGTCCCAAGATAAGCAGAGCTTGTATATGTGTACCAGACAACTGATACAAATATATTTTGTAAATTCATACCCAATACATATAGAAAACACCCAGACTTATACAAACATTCATACTCTACTAATACAAATGTTTGCACGAAGCGAGGAAGCGAACCTGCGACCACGGGAAATAAAGTGGTATGCTAAACCACTAGACCAACAAGCCGGGCCAAGGAAAATGGTGAAGCACCAACTTCCAAATAAAAAACATCAGAATCGGATCACGTAGAAACATTTCTAAGGTCACACAGGAAGAAAAACAGCTTCCGAATAAAAATAAATACAGAATCAGAGAGATAGAAAAAAAATCTGAGGTGACACAAAAAATACAATGCAAATAAAAACTCTTTCCTTTTATTGAAGTCGGTTGATAAATACAGGCATTGTTTTAGTAAAAAAACCTGTATTTTATTTCTCCTTAAATTTGTATTGTAAACATATATTTAGCACTAGATTTTGCCCGCGGCTTCGCTCGCGTTAATTTATCCCCTTAGGGGTGGAATTTATCAAAATCCATTCTTAGGAGATGCCTACGTTACTGTAGCCTTATGCATGCAAAGTCTCAGCCCAATTGGTTTAAAATTGACAAAGTTTCATATAAACTTTCATCGCCTATCTTATCCTCTTGATATAAATTAATCAAAATCCTTTCTTAGCGGATACCTACGTCATAACATCTACCTGCATGCCAAATTTCAGCCCGATCCGTCCAGTGGTTTGGGCTGTGCGTTGATAGATCACTAAGTCAATCACCTTTGAGTTATATATATTTAGATTTCTGTTTATCCAAGTTAAGTCATTTAAGTATACGACAGAGATAGCAATAATCCTATTTACATTGCAAATGATAAAGATTGTGTTCCGGACCACCGCTTAAAGATTATGTATAGTCATAGATTGTAGAAATAAGTTTATAGAGATTTAAGTACTTTATGTTATTATTTACGAAAATGCTTGGATATATAGGATAAGATGACAAATAAATGATTATAATGGTTGTGGTTTCAATCCCCTGAAAATAAATAGGAACAGAATAGAATATAGTATAAGAAATAGATCCCAAAATACATAGGCATAAACTATAAAAGGGATCTTTTAAAGTATCATTATGTAATCATTTGTAGATATGTAATTGTAATGTGCGTTGCGCGGCAGCATTCGTTCGACTGACGCGCGACCTCGCTCTCCCGCGCTATATATATATGAGGGGGAAGGGGAGCGAGGTCATATAAAAGGCGCGATCCGCGAAATCGCGAATTATTCTTAAACCGCACGTCGCGCAGCGCACACATCATAATAAAAATGTAAATTAAAGATGGTATTGACGTTTGATGCACAAATTGTAAACACAAAATGTAAGATTGATAAAATATAATAAAAATTATATAAAGGGGTGAGGAGAATAGGGCGGCCAAGGGTCCGCTGGCTAGTAGCCAAAAATCGTATATAAGTAGCGTCCAAAAGCGCTACAAATCATAGCGAAATAGACCTCAGTATAGCGAATCTGACCTCAGAATAGCGAAATAGACCTCAGCATAGCGAATCTGACCTCGATTAGCGAATAGCGAACTCGACTTCTGAATAGCAAAATCAACCACTGAAGAAATTCTCCTCGCCTCTGCATTCTGAACCACAAGAACCGTTTTCTCATTTACTGCCCGTCCATCATCGCCATCGTCAAGCATAGTCGTCACAACCCTTTTCACGCATCGTGTCATCGCATCGTGTCACCGTCGCATCAGCATCGTGTAAACGTCCTTCTCAGGACGAATCATCGTGGTGCCTATAAAGAGGCACCTGGTCCTTCACCCGCAACGCGCCCGCGGCGTTGATTGAGGCCCTTCAGGTAGGGAGTGCTTTGAAAAGGGCACTCTCTCACCTCGAGGAGGATAGATTGACGTCCGGGCGTACCAGCGACTCGGTGCCTGCCGACGCGCCTTCCGACTCCCGGGGGCAGCGGCCAGCACATCTGCTGGTCCTTCGAGCCGGATCAAGAAGAATAGAAGACAAAATAGAAGATGCCCGTCACACGAAGCAGAACTGGCAAGATGCAAGAGGAGAAGACAGAAGAGCATCAAACAGATGCAGAACAGGTCCCAGACCCACCGCGGAGGGAAAACCCGTTCCCTATTCGACATAGCATACCGCCGAGGTCGCCACAAGGGACACAAGACGTCGAAGAAACCGTCGTTCAACAAACAACGGCGCGATCACAGCTCTCCGATAGAGAAAAGGAGAGACAGAAACAAATCGCTATCGCCCGAGAAGAGGTCATTCGCTATCGATTACAGTTGGCGGAGGCCAAGCTAGCCCGACTGGAAGCCTTCGGAGAAGAAGACGAAGAACCGTCGGAACCAGCATCGCAAGACGGCCACAATAGGGTCGTCGAATGGCTCGAGCAGCAGTCAGAGCCACCACCGCC